ATGACAAGAATCAATATGTTACAACCACATCATCCTTTTTAGAATACTGATTTTGTAGGGATGTTCTGATCTCGTGTGTCAAAAATCAACGCGAAGGCGGACGCGTAACTAGAAAATATTTTAAGGACCCTCTATACACTAGAGGAAAATATTTCTTGGACATTGAGAAAATTATAGTGTGTAAAGGTGTAAGCATTGAGCTTATCTATCACATTTTCAGCATAGGGTGCCTTGCATTTACCCCCAGGAAAAATGTTCAAAGACAATGAAGTACTGATGAGCATAGATCACTGTTGTTTACTTAAGTGGGCAAAATACCTGCACATGAAGTGTTCTATCTATTCACCTTGGTCTATTAAAGTGTTGTGAATGCTTGATTCGATTGCAAATTAAGTATTAAACTGTACATTTCAATTTATTTTATTCTGATCACTATATCTGCATAAAAATACCACAAAATCATAATTCTCTTGTGTGCAGTGTATAGAGAGTTCTGAAATGCAAGGATGAGACAAAAATATTTTAATTTAAATCGGTTATAGCTTTAGAACATAAACAGTCAGTGTATAAATTGATTTTATACAAATGTGTAATCTCTGTCTTTGACTTTTCTCAAGTGAAACCAGTGTGAAATATGCAGAAAGTAAAGAATTTGGCGATGATAAAGATATCGGGAGAAGCAAGACGTACACCTCAGAAGAATCCCAAGTGGAAGAGGAAGATTAGACTGTGATGGATGACCTGATTAGCCAGCTGAAGCCAGCTAAAGATACATGAATTTAGAGATACTTTTTTCGTACATACTCTTGAAATGAATATAATTATCATGAATATGAGGGTCTTTCAACATGTTATGTTATATAGCACATACATTTAACCAAACCAAATGTTGGGGTTTTTTTTTTTCTCAAATTTTTATTAAATCCTTCAAAATATTCACCTTGTACAAAAACGCATTTTCCTCATCTTCTGGCCCACTCCTAAAAAGCCCCAGAGTACTCTGCCCTTAGGATATTTTTTAAACACTAGTAATTCCAAGGGCACTTCTATTGTTATACGTTCGATCAGAAAGTATTTTTAGGCAAGGAAAAAGAGAAAAAGTCGCAAGGATTAAATCAGGGAAATGGGGTGAAGCTTAAGCACCCGCACCTTTTCTTTGTCCAGAAACTTAACCCCTTAACTTTTATGAGCTCTGAAGCATCATCCACTAGGTATATTAAAATGTATCTTAAAGCAGTGCTTGGTCGTTTTATTTTGTAGATTTTTTTTAATTTTCGGGAAAAAAACTTTCTTATAAGTGTTTCCAATTAGAGATGTGTGTGACGTGGATAGTAATTGTATAACATATCCACAAGAAATGAAAAATATTATATACAACATTTCATGCACTTCTTTGCACTCCGTTGACGTTTGCAAATTACTAGGCATTTTTGTTTGTTGTTTTTTTTTTTTTGCTTTTCCATTGTCATTGTCTGACCCTTTTTGTGTTTCAAATATGTAGATCCAAGTCTCATGTCCTATCAACAAATTAGATAACTTCCTGCAACTGCAATTCTTAAATTATCTGAGGATTTTCTTTGAGCATTCCAAACGTGTCTTTCTCTCTTCCTCTGTCCGCAAATGCGGTATACTCGAGCACAAATCTTTTTAAGTCCTAAATCATCTTTCGAAATTGTATTAACACTCCCTTCAGATATCTTAGTCTTCCAGCTATGTCTGTAACTGTGTATCTTCCATCTTCATTCACTTTTTTCACGACACATACTTTTCGGTTGCTGGTGTTTTGGGCGTCCTTCACAGTGGCCATTTTTATGCCAGATAACCTACTTTTAAACTTTTTAACCCACCTCCAAACTGTTATTCTTCATTCCAAAGAATCTCTTTAGATAATGACAAATTCTTCGTAAATTTCTCCTGGAGTGATATTCAGAGTAACATGTCCCTTAGTGTAGGATCACATTAATACTAGGTAATTTATCCTCTTTCCTCGTTATCCACATAAAAAAGTCAGTACCAATGCGTACTCCTGATTTCAATGTGAATATCTTTTACATGTGACATAATTTATTCTGCACGAAATTTCACAACCTAGTAGCTTTAAGAATTTAAAACATGAAATCTTTCAAGCAAAACGAGTATTTACTATGAAAACCTGTTTGTAACGGAACTTTCTTGAGGACCCTCGGACAATTTTAGTGAAATCAAAACACCTAGGATTTCGAAAATAGGCTTTTTTCTGGATATTTCAATGTGGCCTGATCAAATAAAAATTAGTAAGTAATATTTTTATTGTTTGACTTATCATGCTTTTATATTCACACCACCATTTGAAATACCTGCAGCAATATGTCTTGTAAACTGCATCTTTTTATAGATAAAAAATCATTTAATCATTTTGTAATGAAAATGTGAGACACATAGCTTTTGTTTCACTGTACATGCATGGATGTTTCTTTTTTTTCTTAAGCACGTTTACTCTGTAAACCACCCTTCCAACAAATAAATAGATGCACTGATACGGTATGTACGATATGTTTGTATTTATCATGAATAAATCACTTTTTTGCATTGATGAAATGATTTTGGATTTCCTTTTCTCCAGAAAGGCATTTTTGGTAGGTGAGTCTACCTTGATGAGTTATAGATTTTGCAGTTTGCATTTTGTTACACCTTAATTAATTGCTGATGAAACTACGGCATTTTCAGTTTTTAATGGAACAAGATTACGGGTAGTGAACTAGTATTGCTAATGCAAAAATGCTTGTTTATTGAGATTGACATTGCATTATTTAAGTATTGGCACGATAAAAGTAAAGTATGTACCCTCTTTGTTCGTCTGTCCGTCTGTCTGATGTTTGTTTACTTTCAACATTATCAACTGCTCCATTACCACCCGGACAATTTTACTCAAAGTTCCCAAAATGGAATATGGAGATAACGAACAGTAATCAACCTCAAAAGTCCATCGAAACATTACAAATCGAGAGCAAACACGGACCTCTAAAAAATAACATCAGATCAGGTGCCAGAGTAAGCATCCCCTGTCTGCACTTTGTCATGATCGGACAAACGGAAAAATCAGTAGACAATTGTTAAATAAGGCCTAACTATTAGTATGAAAAACGTCTTCGTCAGCATTCGACTTAATGATACCGGTGGATTGTATTTGCCGATAGGGTCATTGTATCGGCCATAGAACTTGCGAAATGATGACTTTAAACGAGACTGTTGATATCCTTGTTTCAGCAACTTATTTGTCGATAGCTTGCCTCATTTTAGAAATTGTTTGTACTTAGAGAATGCTCTTTGCGTATCTAATCAACTGGGAGATAAAAACCTCATATGATAAGGGTATATTGCTACATAAGTAAGGAAAGTTGACGATAGAAAAGTTGAAGTCATCACATTTATCGTAAAGTTTTGTTATTACGTTACCATTAACGTCTTTTTCTTGTAAAATATCCAAATATGAAACAGATGTATCAGACTCTCTGGTATCTCTTATTTCAAATTCACTGGGATATATCGAGTCGACATATGAATGGAAGTAACTATTGTTAATTGATAATACGTCGTAGATATATCTAAATCTCGAGCTGAAGGCCAAAGCAAGTGTCTTTCTATTTAATAAATTCTGCTTCATATGAATATGAGATAGGTCTGCTAATAACAGGGTGCATTCTTTGGTAGGTTGAAACATAGGCCATGTCTTCTTCAAAGTGGAGATATTGGATTTTGGATTGGCTTCTAGTCACATACATGGTATACTTTCTTAAACGAATTAAATTTTGGAATTTTAATAATCTAGTCTTAGTGTTTTTGATCCTACCACACACCTTTAAACATGCTCAGTGCATTAATTACTTATTTGCGTGGCTATCAGACAAGTGTTCCCGCACAGTGGCTAGACAGATACTGTACGTAGAAAGTTTGTCTTAGAGATGATAGTTTAAATTATACTGTCTTTGTTATTTTGTTTCTGTAATGCCCTTCAAGTGACGATGAGAAACTTACCTGGGTTTACAAGTAATAATTAGTGTTTTCTTGTCATTTGATTTACTGGTGGAATTGGTGTGTCGTTCATGCAAATATGTTCACCAGTAGGAAAATATCTCTCCAGAGTTTAGAAGCCTGCGTTCAAATCCTTTTTAATTTCATATTCACTCTTCCCCTGCTTCACTTCAATGCTAGGGAAATGCTCTCCCTATCTCTATCAGAAAAACGAGTATTATCGAATGTTATCATAAATACTCCGCAATTAAATTTAAGCTACAGAAAGTCAAAGTTTTAAGGGCTAAATTTCAAAACGGTGATTTCTGAGAACACAATATCTATTATAATTTGCAACTTTCTCTCATAAATCAGAGCTGAATCCACATTTAGAAAAGAAAGAAAAAACAAGCTGCATGTACCATCACTCCAATGCATCCCACTAAATGACATTTTAAGGAAACGGAAATTATGGAAATATGTGAATAGAATCATAGTTTGTAGATAATCATTTCTGTTGTCTAGACAATAAATATCGATGAAGATGGGTATGAGATTAGACGCGGCAGAACATGATATGTTTTGTGAAGTCAGCAAAACTTCTGATTCAGTTTGGCATACTGGTCTACTTTTTTAATAATGTCAAGTAGTGATCATAGGGTACAAACATCATAAAGTGTCTGAAGTTTATTTTAATGTGTAAACTACGATTGTAATAGGCTAAATATCAATAAGAATCATTTTTATTATTACATAGACACAGAGTGATATCAATCTTGACTTAAGCTGAATAATCAAAGTATCGCAGGCAATAATGCACTATGAATAAATAACATTTTAATAATATGCTATTATGACGTCATATCTAGGTAGTACAGAGAAGTTACTTAGATGGAGCACTGTGATATTTTACAGAGAGACTTATCCTAGCTGCGTGTAACATCAATGTTTTTGTTAGTAGCCATAGCACAACTGATTTGCATAGAGCATCCTCTTGGGTACCTAATCATCTAGGAGACATACACAGCCAACACAGCTGCACAAGTGATAGTGGATAGTGACAGTGGAATGTTGACGATGGAAAAGCTAAAGTCATCCCGTTTGTCATATGGTATAGTTGTCAGCTGGTCATTAACGTCTACAGTCTTAAAACATCCAAATACAAAACAGATATGGTATATTCTTTAATTTTGATTTCATTGGGATATACTGAGTAGACAATTAATTATAATTCTTAGTTGATAAAACGTCAATATATCTTAATGTCAATTGAATGCCACAGCATGAGTTTTCTTCTAATGTAGACGGTTTTGAATAAATTCTGCTTCATAAGAATATATAAACATGTCAGCTAATAAAGGGGCACAATTAATGTCCATCGCAATTACAACAGAATGTAGGAAGATCTGTTTCTAATGACTACAAAGATATCATTATTGAGGGACTCCAACATCCTTTCAATATCAGCTTCTAACTACTTGTTTAATGGGTTTTTATACGTTTTTAACGAATTATCTTTGTAGGTGACGAATCTCAAGATATGAAAAGAAGGTACGGTTTCAATACAAATCTGGTCATTTTTCCAAAAACTTTTGAGAAATTAACACACATGCTCTCTGAATTGTTCAAAGGCCATGCAGTAAGATCATAATGTCTTTTTATATGACCTCCTAAATATCACTTGTGACGTCATAAACCTGGGTATTTCCCGTAATTTCTTTAACAGTTGCAGAAGTCATCAATTTTCTGTGGAATTTATCTTCAGACAATATAGGTCACATGCATCACCAAGAAAGATTTTAGGAAATATCATTTCTCAAAGATTTGTACACAACATATCCGAAAATTGAAGTAGGCAACGGCTGTAGCTACTTTCTTCCTGAGGAAAATAGACCCTTCAATGAATCTTTTTGAGGATATTTTTTTCTGTTTTAACTATAGAAATTAAACAATTAAATGATGTAATATTTCCTGAACGGTCCTTCCCCATGCCATATTCTTTCTTGATAAAATAAATGTCAAACGTTTTGAAAGCATCAATATTTTTTAGGACAAAATAAAGTCAAAAAGTCATATTCACTTTCCTTTCCGAGTTTCATTTTTATTGAATCTGTTATCTTTTGATGTCAAAAGACAGTCTTAAATTTATCCTGAAGAATAATTGTAAAAGGTGTAAGGAAGACGCTTCTAATTTTGGAGGAAAAAATGAGTTTTCAAATTTTCTAAAATTTCTTTTGAGTTTTGAGAATCATATCTAGCACAGTGCGTCTGATGTTTCTTCTTCACAGCAATAAATTTTTTGCTAGGAGTAAAGATGGAAGTTTGGAGAAACATTTACTGGCCCATGCTATGTTTCACTGTATAGGAATTTTTATACTTTGTTTAAAGGTTTTTTTCTAAGTTTTAGAATCATGTTCCAAGACCATAAACTGAGAACAGACTTAAGTCAATATTTAATCTTAAAAATCTCAGTGTTTATCTATATTTTTTTAAAGTTGCATTAGTGTATAATATTTAAATTCAAACCCATGATAACAATTCTGGTTAAATAAAAATTATTTCAAAAGTTTCACGTATTTAAATTCTGACTTAAGTATGTTCTCAGTTTATGATCTTGAAGCCTGATATAGGAAGTGTAAATTAAATTCACTTATATTGACTGAAATCTTAAAAGTTTTTTTTTTAAAGAAAAATCATCTTTGGGAAGGGAAGTGTGAGTTTCAGTTAAATATAATTCGTATTAGTAAATTCATAAAGAATTAAATGCATATAAGACCAGCTCGGAATGACTCGACAGCACTTGTTAGCATAATTAGTTGATGATTATTGAAATTTACACAACCTATTTTTTTTTAGTCTTCTTATTATTACTTTATTACCATTGAATAAATATCAATACTTCCTTATCACAAAAACATGAACTCGAGTAAAGACAAATTTTTCAGTTGATTTTAAGAAGAAAAAAATCCACAAAAAACAAACAAAATTTATAATAAAATTCCTTAAAGAAAAATAGCAAACATATATGTGATATGTTTTAAGATGAAAATGCAATACTCCTATATATATTGCTGATACTAAAAGAAAACAAAACACATCAATCTCTTTTAAGCAAGCATTTATTATCAAATTGATACATGATCTCTTTTAAACAAACACTTATTATCAAATTGATACATGATTCTTTTTAGGTCGAATTGGATTTTCGTGAAATACATTTTTTAAAACACAGTTCTCTAAATGTGTTTCGAAATTTACTGCTCATGATACAATACAAAGCAAAATTAATTACACAGTTAAGTAAAGCAATGGCGTCAAAGAAGTCTCCAAGCGGAATATACACATTTTCGTACAGTCCAGAGACGAAGACACGCATCAGAACTAGTATTCCTTGTGGTAGTTCTGTGATCAGGAATAGAGCAACGATGACGTAAAGAAGCCTATTTGTTCTCCCAATGATGATGGACCGTTTACTGGAAGTTAATGAAAATTTACTTCTTCTTTTCAGTAAAGTGTGCACCAGAGCCCCAACAAACATTGTCATCAGTATGCAAGGAAGCAACTTACCTACAATGGCGTATAATAGGCCATTAGTGTCCACAATGTTACGAGAACCACCACTGGTAGGCATGGTAGCATTTATGATGTAGATAGTCTCATTGCTGGTTAAAGTATGTTCCACGATGTTGTTTGTGAGAAAATTCGGGAATGATGAAACAACAGAGATGAGCAGGGCAATGGACACTACTACAACTGTCTGCATGTTTCGCGTGGCTCGATGGATATGACGTCTGTTCTTAGTCTGGATAAACCGGTAAAAAGTTAGGGATACTCCAAGCCATACACTGGCATTATGAGAAGCTAAGGTTATCTTGGAGGCTAAGAGCCTGTAAGCAACTCTGTTGTAAGAAAAATACTGGGAAAGAGGCACATCTGTGTAATTCATATGGAAGAGAAGAACTTGTGGTATATATATTAACATTGTAATATTGTCGCTGACTGCAATTAGAGTTAGGATATAATTACTGGGAGAACGCAGCTCTTTCATATTTAAAATAACCATATTCACTGTTTGCAATAATGCCATAGGTGCATATCACTAAACTTATGTAGCCATGATATCTCGAATATCCATTAGCAATAAACAAAAGCCACTTCTGTTCTGAAACATCATTGACACTCATTTCATCTTTGCTGTTATTATTAAATCCTATCTTTGCTGTGTAAGGCATGTAGTAAAATGCGTTTCCTGTGATTTGTTCTTCCATGGTGTTGGGAGATTTGAGAACTGTTATAATATCCTCTACAACCTTTATTTATATTGCTTCTCCTTGTTACAGTTTAGTTTCAAACGTGATCCTAATTGATTGACAGATAATGTCCTATTTATATAGCTGTTAAATGTGGAAAATCAAAAGAATCAGGTTTCAACATGCAGTACGCAATTCATTTGTAATCCAAAAACCTAAATTTATTTTATTAAAGCGTAATTTTAACTTTGAAGGAAATTCTTACATCCAAAAAAATAAGACTTCTATTCCGTAAGGCAAGATAAGGTAGAAAAGAAAACAGAAGCAGATTTGTGTATAATTTCAAACCTTTTTACAAACGTTTTATGTTGATAAGGGAAATTTTGATATTAACAACACAAAAGTGGTGCTTAGCTTGTTTTGCCAATTTTTCAGCATGTAACATAGAGCACACATTGAGGCGCAGAACCTATATTCCCTTCTACTGTGAAATCACAAATTTTCAAAATCGGATTAACTTTGGATTTTTTTGTGGTTCAAAGAGACCAACGAATTTATATCTTCAAGAAATGTTAAAATATCATACTACAGTATGATACCACAAAATCAAATGACGTCCCTATATGAGTGAAAAATCGAATGGGACGTAAAACATCATACAATTAATTAATCAACAATCTAATGTCGACCCTCTATATATTGATCGGGAATAATACGTAATTAAGTTAGCCCAATAATTAGCTTAAAACATATCAAGCAAAATACGAAACAATGATAGGTTGTATTTGACATAAGTAATTCTGAAAACCACATACATAGGGCCTAAAATAGCCTAGTTAAAATGCTGATAGGTACATTTAAATCCCCTTTCAGAATATTACATTTGAAGCTGGAATTAAAATCATACGTCAGTGGGTTTTAGATAATTGATCGATTAATTCTCTGAATGGTCGCTTATGTGATCTAAAATCACAGATAAATGTCAAACTTAAAGAACGAATGTTGAAACACGTGAGACTTGATACTTAACTTCGCTTAAATTTATGATATGTTTTCTTTAAGATAGATATATTTAGGGAGTGACTACATCTGTTTCTGTATTTTTGGTATCAGATAATGAAAAAAAAATATCTTAAGCAACTATGTTTCCTTTATCGAGTAGATTTGAATATAAGGCATCGTTACGTTGTATTTATAATGATACCACATAACAGATGAGTTAGTATCTGCATACAAACAATATGACTTTTGTGACGTCATCAAGTATGTTTCAAAATCTTTTTTTTTTCAGAACGGCAGGACCATAATTAGTGATTTTTAGATACAATATCCTGAAGTAGTACTATTGCTGATTCGATGTAAATTCTCTCCATTTTAAGACACATCAGTAAGCCTTTTCGAAACCTAATATTTCAGCAGATGATCTAGTTTGTGCTGATCAAATAGTTGGAAACAATAGGGAAAAACAAAAATAAATTGATAATACTGTCCAAAGTACGACTCGGAAAATGAACTAATTGATATACAAATATAGCTTTTTGATGAGGTTAAACACCAGATATATCAATCTCTCACGAGAAGGCGTTTACGCTGCGCTACAACACCTTTGTCAACGTCTAAATGCCAGGATTCTTGGCAAAACTTACTTTGACCTATTGCATAACAAATTATAAACTTTAAAGTTATATAATATTTTAGTTTTAAAATTTAAATTAAAGTTTATTTACGAAAATTAGAAAGAGATAAGTCTGCATCACCGTATCTCACAAGGGATTATTTCTCGGCGGGATATTGCATCACTCATGTAGACAGATATGGAGAATTTGGAAAATTTAAAACGCATTGCCGATAAATATCAACATGGTTTAGTTTTTAAAGACAAATAACTTGCAGCATTGACACATATACAGATACGTAAGGTAATGCGCTTGTTAATCTTCCTGTGATAAAGGTCACCTGTCTCCATTTTCCGTACTACTTTTTAGACGTTGACAGAGGTATTAGTGGAGCGAAGCGGGAACGATAACTCTGGGTAGAGATTGCAGATATATAGACCTTAGAGAAAGCATATGGACGGTGCATAAAGTGCAAGGTCGATAAGATATACTTTTCTCTAATAAGGGTATACATGTATATCTAGGGATTGTACCAAATAAAAAGACCACATTGTTATCTAATTTTTTTTATCAATTAATGGAAAAATATTTTGATTATCAACTTTCAATCATAGAGTATTTTCTCATATAAGAAGTCGACATTGTTATTTCATGCTCATTATGTCATTACAATTAGTAATAAGATTTGAAGAAATTGTTTTTAGAAACATGCAATCAATATCGGCTATTGCAAATTCATCACTGTTGTTGTTTTCCCAGAAGATTGTTTTTAAAAATATGGGGTCAGTATTCTCTTTTGAAGCATTAAGGCATTTGAGGCTGTATACTGTTTTATTCTTATGTAACAGGAAAAGAAAATGTATGGCTGGACCGGGAATCGAACCCGAGAACCTTGCATCACTAGTCAGTTGCTCTACCGACTGAGCTACCCAGGCGATATCCACGGCCCAAAGCATTACATTCCTCCCTCCTTAAATTGTCTTCGTCCTCGAAGACGCAACCCAAGTTCTTACGGTCAACGGCTTTTGTAAGAGGAAAGGAGAAAATGTATGGTTGGATCGGGAATCGAACCCGGTAACCCTGCATCACTAGTCAGGTGCTCTACCGACAGAGCTACCCACGCCGATATCCACGGCAAAACATTAAATTTGAATATGTGATCTACTTCGAGTCAATCAGATAGAGTCAACTCACTATAGCATATTTAATTGTTAAGAAAATGCATAGAAATCGTGATGTTACTTGGCTTATATGTATAAATGTTTGTAAGCTGTAATAATGTGTTATTCCTTTTGTACGTGATTTTATCGTTGTACCAAGTTATACTCTTTGTAACTCTTCAATGTTTATACTGTCTTTTATGATCCCAGGTGGCGCTTCTGCCTACTTCACAGATTATACCAACATGTTTTAAGACTTTAAGCCCTAATATTGTAAGTTAACAACATTTAATGAGAATTCAACCTTCATATTTTATAAACATTCTGTTTATATTACGTTAGCTCTGATGAATTTCTCTGTGTGAGTTTAATTATGTTCAAACTAAATTTCTTTGATTAAACTGCTTTAAACTAACTTCATATACACTATATATACAGAAAAAGAGATTATCACATTGTCTTAAGCCCCTGTCCTTACGCCAAAATTTTGACTGCAGCAAAGGAGAACCTGAAGTTGTACTATGATTCAACATATACATGTATATAAGACAGGAATGTAAACAATTCTATTGTAGATTCTCAAAAACTCCAAAAAAAAACTTTCAGAAAATCTAAAATCACAAAACTTTTCAAAAATCAATAGTATGATAACAAATGATTTCTCTACGCTTTATGCAACCATACAACCACACAAACATTCCTCACGATAAATAAAGAGCAGGCTTTTTGACAACATAGACAACTGCTTCTTCAATAAAAATGGAACTTTCTAGATTTTCCTATCTTGTGATTAGTCATCAACAAAAATCATTCTGATTCAACACAAAAGTACTCTGAAGATGCAGGCGTCACTCGATGACAATATTTATATGTCCAAAATCTTGTACGTGAAAAGAAGAAAACACTTGCTGTGGCCTTCAACTCGACATTTAGATATATCGACGACGTATTGTCAATTAACAATGGCTATTTCCATTCTTATGTCGATAATATATCCTGGTGAACTTGAGATAAAAGATACCACAGAGTCTGACACATCTGTTTCATATTTGGATATTTTACTTGAAAAAGACGTTAATGGTAATCTAACAACCAAGCTTTATGATAAACGTGATGACTTTAACTTTTCAATCGTCAACTTCCCTTACTTATGCAGCAATATACCTTCATCACCTGCATACGGGGTATATATCTCTCAGTTGATTCGATACGCAAGAGCATGCTCTACGTATGTACAATTTCTAAAACGAGGTAAACTATTGACAAATAAGTTGATGAAACAAGAATATCAGCTGTCTCGTTTAAAGTCATCATTTCGTAAGTTCTATGGTCGATACAATGACCTTGTCAGCAAATACAATTTATCATTGAGTCAAATGCTGACTGACGTTTTTCATGCTTATTGTTAGGCTATTATTTACACACTGAATTGTCGACGGATTTTTCCGTTATTTCCCGATGATGACAAGGAGCACACGGCGGGTGTGACCGGTCGGCAGGGGATGCTCACTCCTCCATGGCACCTGATCCCACCTCTGATGTTTGGAGGTCCGTGTTTGCTCTGCTCCTATTTTGTATTGTTTAATGGACTTTTGAGCTTGAATACTGTTCGTTATCTCCATATATTTCATGTAGTCTTTAGAGACCAGGTCTTCTAACACTCTGTTGAAATTCCGCTTTGCTCTAATTCTGCTCCTTAATTAGCCGTTCTTTTTTATATTCTCTAGCAACAGAATTTATTTAAAAACTTTAAAATGAAAGGAAATCTCCTGCTGTGGTTTTTAATTCAACATATTGATATATCAACAATATTTTGTCAATTTCAGTAGTGATTTTTGTTCATTTGTTCTTTGAAACAAGTTGTTGAAAAAGCTCACAAATTGTCATATATGTCAGAAAGTCAGGGAATGCTTCGAATATGCTTCCACAACATTCAGAAAAAGACCTTTTTTGCTTCTTTTCTGGGGGAGCTGTACAAGTTGAGGTTGAAGAATATGTAGAATAGTCATGTTGTGACATGTCTGAAAATCCGCTTTTTTCTTGGCTAGGAAATGATCATCATTGAGTAAACTTGATTGTTCGTATCTTGGTAGTCCTGCCACATCTGTCCCATTGGAAAGAATCTTCAATTTGGCAGGAAAAACCTTCAGATCTGATAGATGTAGGTTAGGGGACACAACATTTGAACAGTTAATGAACATAAAATGTAACCGTAAAAGATATTGTAACTATATATGATATGAATATTATTCGACTTTCATGTTTAACTGTTTGTATTGCTTTGTATATATTGTTTCCTTCTTTAGTTTAATAGAGCGTTTTCTTTAATTGTAATTTTTTATTTAATTAAATTACATTCGCAAATTAAATTACATTTGCAAAGAAATTGTAATTAAATTAACAAGATTTTAAAATCCTTGTAATGATTAATTGAAAGATTTCGGCAACAAATCGTAATATACGTGAAAATTAGAGGATTCGTATAATTAATAACCAGAGCAAGTCTCAATAATTAAACAACAACACAAAGATGTACTAAAAGAATGTTATATGCAAATTATAGATTATAATAATTAGTTTTTAACAGATCTACATGTAAAAGTACTATAATTCTAGTATAATTAATAACTAGAAAAAATATCATCAAAATCTACACATAAAAGTATTAGAACATAACATGAAATTTAATTACCAGAGCTTGAGACAATTATGAAAGAGCAACTCTCTGCAAAAATTCGCACTTTTATAAAACGTATTTATAAACATAGACTACCGCAAAATATTGTATAATGTAGATTACCGTAAGAAATTTCTTCACGGCAAAGGGTCTAAAAGTTCCTTAAAAGCAAAAATCTTCGAATTTTTGGAAATCTTCCTGTATATTTTTTTTTATTTTATTTTCAGTAAAGAATAGAAATTAATGGTCTTGTGGTTTCAACTAAAAATGCTTTAAAATTTCGACTAAAAATTGTCATTATGAACATTTTAATTATTGGTTACCATTTCCTTATATATACGTACTCTTGCTGTGGCCGTCAACTCGACATTTTGATATACATGTATCGACAACCTATTATCAATTAAAAATACCTACTTCTATTCATATGTCGACACGATATATATCCAAGTGAGCTTGAAATAAAAGATACAACAGAATCTGACACATCTATTTCTTATATTATTTGGCTATTTAACTAGGGAAAGACTTAATGGTAATTTAACAACAAAGCTTTATAAAAAACGTGATGACTTTAACTTCCCTTACTTAAGTAGCAATATACCCTTATCACATGCATATGGAGTTTATATCTCCCAGTTGATTTGATAAGCAAGAGCATGCTCTACGAATGAACAATTTCTAAAACGAGATAAGTTATTGACAACAAGTTGATAAAACAAGAATATTAACAATCTCATTCAAAGTCATTATTTCGTTTGTTCTATGGTCGATACAATGACCTTGCCATTAAGTCAAATGCTGACTGACGTGTTTCATACTAATTCTTTGTCCATTATTTACACACTGAATGGTCTACGGATTTTTCCGTTATTTCCCGATCATGACAAGGAGCACACGGGGGTGTTACCAATCGTCAGGGGATGCTCACTCCTCCATGGCACCTGATCCCACCCTGTTTAAGAGGTCCGTGTTTGCTCTGCTCTGATTTGTATTATTTGAATGAACTTTTGAGCTTGGTTACTGTTATTTTCATATATTTCATATGAAAAATGGAAGATAACAGACAGCGATCTATCTCAAAAAACTTCGAACAACACAACTCTGTGAACAGGACATAAAACATGAACCCCGCAAATTCCAGAGGTTGGATCAGGTTCCAAGGAAGAATAAGTATCCCCCGTCGACCGATGTTGTAGACTGAGACTTCCTCCATTGTCAGACGTCCCCTCGGTAGTCATGCTGTAGAGTGAGACTTCCCCCGGACGTTTGCTCTAGAGTGGGACTTCCCTCTGGGGGAGGAAGGACTCTAGAATAGAAGAATCTCCGGGGAAGTATCTCTCTAGTTCCCCACTTTCCAGCGGAAAGACCTACTCTACCTCTAGTTGTAGAGTCAGTCTCCCCCCCCCCCCCACCCCCCACCCCCCAGAGTATGGCTCCCGCTTCATTTGATCTTGTTTTACTATTACGAAAATCACTTTATAGAGATTATTTAGTTACGAAACATTTATAGCGGAACACTAGTTGCCCCCGATTTCACAGTGAAGGATATTCATTTGGGTCTGACCGTTCGTTTGTCCATCCGTCCGGCCGACTGTTATTCTGTCTTTGTGTAACACTTGTTTCCGGACGATATACATGTATCTTTGAGCTCTTGCAATGAATGGCTTTTATCACTATGTATGGCTGAGATAAGTACACCATATTCATATTAAATATAGTTTGAAATAAAAGTTAGAAATACAGCATGAGCACAATTTTGTATAAGTTACTAAAAAAACATAAGATGTTTGAAATATTTTTCTAAGAAGTTGGATAGGCTTACTATCTTTTAATACTTTTGGGGAAGTAGCGCTCTGGAGGGGGAGTATGGCTCTAGAGTTGGACAACCCCAAGAAGGGAAAGCTCACTCTAGAGCAAGACGTCCGGGGGGAGGAGTCTCACTAGGGGTGGGGGAGTTTCGCTCTACAACAACGACCGTAATCACTTGAAGAATATAGTAAGCAGCATCTCACCGGACTGAGATTGAGCAATAAGTCCCCTCTATAAGGCTTTATTTTTCGAAGAGATGGAGGAGGCCAATTTAGGGTCTCTGTCTGCTGTCTTACGGCAGATACCTTTTAGTTATTTAAATACTGGTTACAAGAATTGTAACAAAAAGCATAAAGAGAGCACCAAATTGAAATATAGAGGTATTTTTCCATACATTTTTGTTTGCAACTCATCTTTTTTCAACTTTAATCGCCAGTCTTTGCATCAAATTTTACAATACTCTTAATCGCTTTTTATTTGCGAGAACTTTACTTCCGTGTAATTATGCTTGCAAAAATATTATTCTCGCATATTTATGTATTACTAATGATAACCAATTCTTGTATTACTAATAATAACCAAAGTTCTTGAAATTTTTCCTTACTAAATTTCAAATGACTACGTATTGAAAATAAGATATTGCTAAATCATCTCCAGTAATACCAGAAGATATGTTACACGCATACAAATAGTGTAAATCAAAAATGAAACATCCTACATCTATGCCCCGGTTCTATTAAAAAGTTGAAACTCGGAGTGTGCTATCAGCACAAAATACAAGTCTCCCATCGTCTGTCTTTGCAAATTTCTGCTTTAATGGAATTTTAAGTAATCCTTTGATAACTTCCTACATTCAAGCAAACAGAAATGTTTTTCATTTATATTTATAAAACATAAACAACAATTTTGTTACAATGCACATAAATAATTGTTACCATAGATATACAAATATGAATAATCGTAAAAAAAAATTACAAAATGTGTTTCAGTTATCCTTTGCACATAATAACACTGAAAGTAATAATTCGAGTTTATTCATTCATCCAAAACAGAATAATATTATTGGGAAACATAGTTTCTTAAATAGTTTATTCTAGTTCGAGAATCATCATCTAAACCATACTTTGAAACTGTCAGAGTAATTAAACCTGAAATAGAAATTTATCTTCAGATACAAATAATTTTTTTTTCATTCTTGTGTTGAAAATATGAAATTTTCTGTTCCACCCAGTAATACAGGGACAAAAAGAAATAATTTCTTTTTCTCTGGAACGTTTTATCCCAGTGACACTGAAGCTGAACGTGAGAAATGCATAATGAAGCTATTGAGGTATATTTATCAACTATATTTGCCCTTTGGAATATTGAATAATTTCATGAGCAGGTTTCAAACATGATATTGATATACATCAGAGAACATATAAGTAAGTACATGAAAATTGTAAAATAAATTCCTCTGAAACTGCAAGATTTGTAATTGTCGCAAAAAATTTATTTTGGTGGTGGTTTAGATTAAAGCTTAAGTTAGTAACTGTTTCTTCTAACCAAAAAATCATTGCTAGGAAAAACATTTTGTGGCAAGAATTTCTAGCTTAAAAAATGACATTTTGCATCAGCCAAACATAAAATATACCCCCCAAAAAACATTGTTGCCACTTCAATTTGTGCCAAATGAACACATAACATAAATATAACTTTTGCTAATTATAATCATATACATGTACATTACCTACTTACAAATTAAAATTATTTTTCCATTTTAAAGATTTCTAACAAGTGTTCCTCTTTTATCAAATACGATATTTCCAATCAAATAACCATTCAAAACCTTTTTTTTTTTAATTCTCCACGATAATATTGTAAATTTGAAGAAGTCATACCCCCATCCACTTCCCAACCCCAATAGAAAAATTCAACATCAACATGCAGTAAATTTCCTATTAACTGTTGACCAGTACTCATAAAATATTATCTTTCTTCTGATCAAATGTGCCTTTGATTCAAATAAAGAGTTACAGAGACATTCAATAATTATAACAGGCATGCAAAATTCATTATATGTATTTCTTAAACTTTGTGACAACATATTTCTTTGTTCATTAAACACTCATTTAATGAAAAAAAGCAGGGGAGAAAAAAATAGTTCTTAAAACCTCTAAGGAATGAAAATAGTAGGAAAATATAAATAACCCAGAGTATGATATTTTTCTACAATTATGTCATTAGAACAAAATAAGCCTATTACAAAACCTTCATTTTCATCTCTTAGAATGAAGAGTTCAGCATTGTTCAACGATATTTATTGGCTTAAAAATATTATCTTACAAAAAAGGTGAAAGGCTAATATATGACTAAAACTGTATATATGGCTGCAAATAACAAAATAAATATCAACATTGATATATTTTCTCTAAACATGAACACAACGGAATGATGTAAGCGTGATGAATTTGAGTGTTACATTATATAAAGCATCCTGATAAAATATTTTTCTACATTTACGTTTAATTTACTAATATTTACAGGCTGTGATTGTTAAAACTTGCACCTAATGCTCTCAAACAATACACAGTGATATACATTTGGTTAATATTCTGAAAGGTTCTTTTTTGTTAACACCAATCATGATTGTGTGTATAACAAAAACTACAATATACTGGCACAGTCTATACATACATGTATGTATACGTACAGTATATATACACATATGAGGAAATAAAATAGGGAGAAATCACAACACTTGTGTACAACAAAAGCTAACAAATAACAACAAAATAATAAAATCCATTCCCTGATACCCACAGCAGAGAGGCTTCCGTTACACTTCTAAATATGGGCCGCATATGATACAGCAAGAAACCAGACTTGCCAAACTCACTAAAATTCTTTAACTTCCTCTATTACTTTTGATTTTTTATTTTAAATAAGCATTCTCAGAATTTTTTTTCTTACATAAAATGAAGCATTAAAGGAGAGTTTGATATTGACAAGTGTAATACCATTTTACAATTTGTGTAAAAAGTAAATTCTTAAAGCATTAATACCACTCAAAGCTGTTAGAACCAAAAAAGCTATATAAACTGTTTTTACCAATATCAAATATTATCACAGTACATAAAATATATACCCTCTCAAACTTTTCTTTGGATTTTTTTTATGACAAGGATATCCTGACCAGGAATATTCCATTTATGAAATTCAGTCCAAATTAATTCTTATATTTAAAATTAACAGTCCTTATGAAATCTGCCTTCAATTTTAAACACTGTAGCTTAAACAAAAAAATACACTCATTTGTAGAAACATTCACCCAAAAATCATAAGACACATCATCGAAATCAACTGAATCAAAACTTTGTTATTACAACTTTGGTTTTATCCAAAATTCATTGCACATCATATTGCTTTCATAATGTTTCCAGAAACTTAGCATGTAAAATAATAATGCATATGTGTAAGTATCTAACACAGAGCCACTGAACTTGTTAATTAGTTAAGAATAACATCTGAAGTTACACAAGTTCTAGTGTCTAACGAAGATTTAAAATTTCAAGGCAAGAATACTACATTCGCACATGATACAATAAAGAGACTAGTAATCACAACCATAATTCACCATAAAATAATGTCACGGATTATGTGAATGCCTATTGTTAATATTTGTAATTCCCTTCTAATTTTCCTAATTGCATTGTATCAATTTAAATAAGACTTAATGAGCGTCAGTTGCTTTAAGCTAATACTGTCTTTTCCAGCTGAAAAATTTTTAAGCGAAATTTCTTTAAGATGTTCTAATACATTTATAAAATACACATCTGTGCACAAAATTATTTACGATTTTTCCACAAAAAGAAAAAAAAATACAGTACATACACATCTAAGTCAATTTGCATCAAAAGAAATCTCAAATCAAACATTATCACATATGTCATGCTGACTAGTGTCTAGATTCTTAGTCCTCAGAATGTTTTAAGGACCCTTCACTGACAATAAAGCTTACAAAATACATTGAATGCCTTTGCAATTAACAAACATCAATGGGTTGAGATTAAAAAAAACCTCCATTAATTTGTTTAACCATGCAATTAATCCTTCTTCAATGAAAGACTTATATATCAATTATAAAAAGCTAACAATGGTAATAAAAAACTATTGTCGCTTTTTTCAAGTATTCATATTATTATGAGGTTCTTTAATTACCAAATAGTGGTCTATACCCTTATTAAGGAAAACAGATCCCAACATCAAGGGGAAAGACTCTTTTTGAGAAGTATCATTCAATTCCAAATGTGCTTGTTTCTTCCACAGCTGTGGCAAGTTTCTCAAAGAGCATCTCTGATGATGCATAAGCAGGTAAATCCAGTCGATTGAAGCAAGTGTGTGCTCTGGAAATATAAAACTCTTTTAATAAAACCTAAACTTTACCATAAATTTTAAAACAAAGTTTCTTCTTCTTTCATCCATGCATTCAAATACAGGTATTCAGGCAAAAACTATCACAATTGTATGTTTTGCACTTGCTTTCAAATTACATTTTTTCTGAAAGTTTTAAGCTGCTTCAAATTGAAAATTAAACATCAAAATTAAGAAAATCTCACCTTGGGAGACTGGTAACTTTCCCCCACTTCTCTATACAGAATTTACGAGGGCCATTGCTTCCTCGGAGAGCAGAGAATCCCTCATAAGGAATACTGGAGGTTCCCGTCACAAACTACAAAACAAAACTGTTACCCATTCAGCGAGCACAAACATTCATACTCTCACACTGCCAACAAACACTTTTACACTGCCAACAAAGACTTCTTACAGCAGCACTGAGCCATGTGATCCACATATAAACAATCATAGGTTCCCCATTTTTAGCTATGCTAGCTCCCTTTTTTAAGCTATGCTAGCTTTACTTTTTTAAGCTATGCTAGCTATACTTTTTTAGCTATGCTAGCTATACATTTTTAGTAATGCTACCTATACTTTTTTAGCTATGCTAATATACTTTTTTAGCTATGCTAGCTATACTTTTCTTAGCTTTGCCAGCTCCCTTTTTTAAGGTATGCTAGCTTTACTTTTCTAAGCTATGCTAGCTATACTTTTTTTAGCTATGCCAGCTATACTTTTTTAGTTATGCTACCTATACTTTTTAGCTATGCTAGCTATACTTTTTTAGCTATGCTAGCTATACTTTTTTTACCTGTAACAATCGTAGCCTCCTCTCATTGTCAAACTTTTCAATGGCCTGCCAGAACCACTGAATCACCTGATGCTGGTCATGGTATCCTGCCAAGAGAAGACATACAAAAATTACAGTCAAATTTTCTTTTAAAGTTTCAGTCGAATTTTAATTTAAAGTTACAGTCAAATTTAAATTTAAAGTTACTGACAAATTTTATTTTAAAGTGAAATTTTATTTACGGCATTTAATTTACCCGAGTAATTACATACATTTACATGAACCATGCACCAAAAAGCATTTTTAAGAAATTATGACAGATAATGAAGTATTGTAGAAGTTTGAAATTTGAAGGTATAATATTCTGCTTCTATTTCTATAAGTACTGACTTTAATGTGTTTGAACTACCCTAAAACAAATATACAATTCACAACTTAATGAGAGCATGAATATAGTGAATACTGACACTGGAAGTTGCATGCTATATTAGTAACATAGGTGTTGTGTCTCTCACCTGATCTGTATTCTGTGTTCTTTCTCCAATCCTTGACATCGATCTCCACAGATCCTGCAATCACCAACTCCAGTTCTCTTGCATCAAACATGGAGATCAGCCGACTGTCTATCACCTTAAAATGAAATCAATCCATGAAACATACAAAAATACAGATATACAGTTGAACTTCGGTATCTTGAACACTAATATTTTGAGTATCATGGATATGCTGAACCGATTTGGAAGTCCAACCACTTATTCTTTAAGTATTTTACCCCTGATATCTCAAATCCTCAGATATCTCAAAGTTTGGGGGTTTTTTTTCAGTCCCATCAGTTCAAGATAGAGGTTTGACGGTAACTCAATTTCAGGGAAGTTTAATGAAATCATTTGTATACCCATGTAGTTAACCAAGTTACAGAACTTTTGCCATGTGTATCTTTTGCCTAAATGCTGGACAAAATGATTCTGAACCAGCTTAAATCTGCTTTTTTCATGATTTATGACCTACATTTGCTTATGTATGTACACTATTTATGTTCTTTGAGGTATCAGGGGTTTTTTTTAGGTCTTAAAATCAAGGGCCTGGGCCTTTCCATTTGGGAAAAATAGCGACTTTTGGTTGAAATTGGGAAGAATATCATATTTAATATTTTTGTAAATAAATTCAAATAAGAGTTTTTTTTTCATTTGCAAGGTATTTATTGACTTATTTTACATTCAGTCAATCAGTTTTTGGAGCATGCCTTTTAGATTTTTTTTTTTTGAACACATTCCTGATAAACTTTAATGAGTTCAGCCATTTTTTAACCATATTTGTTTGTTTTGATTCTCTTTTGGGAATTTTCTTTTATGAAATTGGGAAAAACACCTACTTTTTACCATTGGGAATGGGGCCTATTACAAGCCCCCTACGACCCCCAAAAAAAACCCTGGGTATAAAATTAATTTAAAATTTGCTCATCAAATATGAAGACGAGCTGGCAAAAATAAACCCATGATTGACAGATTTTCCAGTATGAAATATTAACAAGGTGTTTGTACCTTGTGAAGGCCTAATAAACAGTGTCTACTGAGGGTGTTTAAACCCCATGGAAGCCCCTGATAGTTTCCACTGAGGATATTTGTACCCCATGGAAGCCCCTTATAAACAGTTTCTACTGAGGAGGTTTATACCTCATGGAAGCCCCTGATGAGACTCTCCGTCTGCTCTGTGACCCCTCTTTCCAGCCTCCATTTAGACATTCTCTCTATGTACTCCTTCTTGTTCCTCTCGTTCACAGGGAGCAACTTCCCGTTAGGTTTTAATTCCCTCTCCGTCACCTGAAATATATTGTCTTATTGAGCTAGGTGTACAGGTGACACAAATACAAAATACAAAATTAATGTACCACTCCTCTTTGATCCCTTTACTGTGATGCAGACTATACTCAGGTACAACTTGTGAAATACAAATGCTGCTCCCATTGCACCCTACCCATTTTCCAATCCAAGAAAACTAATTTTATGCAGTACCATTCTCCTCTAAGAGAAATATCATTGTGAATTTATCAATTACTCTCATCCTATATTACATTTTTTCCTAAAGATTTAAAGAAAATATCAGTCACATTCTCTCTTTTTTTTTTTGCTAAAGATATAGGTTTCTCTCAGTCTGTGCAGCATAATTAGTCAATAAAGGTTTTTCTTCAACATTTGTGCACTACCTGTCCAAACACCTCTTCATTGACAGAGAAAGTAAGGTCCATGTCGACCTCCGAGATGTCATTCTCTTTAATCCACAACAGACTTTGGTGAAACTCGGCGTCCAAGGTCTCCACATCAGCTAGGGACCAGGGCCTGGAAATATTGACAAAGTAGAAAACATTAACAACCAGTGTATGATTCCCTCAGTTTACACTTAAGTCTTGCATTTCCACCAACTTATGTTTAATTCTATGTCTACATGTACATCTAAATAAAAGTTGTTTTTTCCTACGTGTGATGTGAAAGCAATGTTTGTGAAACCATTCCTGATGATATTATATTAATTTCACTGTGATGTATACTGTATATTTACAGGTACATGTATATGATTTGAACTGAAATATTTGATAATGATTTGATTCCAAGTTGATGAATTACAAACTGTACTACTATTACTTACAGTCTTAAGAGAGCTTTGTAGAATGGTCTGGTGAAGAAAGCGTCTAATAAATACTGGTGTACAACTGCTAGTCCTAAAACTCGGCCAGCAAAACGGAACCTGAAAAAAGGTGACAAACATACATGTACATGTAAAACATAAGTACATAGGTAACAAAATATATATCACTAATGTTATGGTAATGCAGAATACACTGCGAGAGAAGATTTCATATAAAAAAAACAACCAATTTTGTCTTTGCCCAAATTTAGTAACACAGAACAGAACTTGTTAACAAATTCATGTTTTGTATAATGCGTACAGTACTAGGAATGGGCAAAAAATACAAATATTAAGAACAAAATAAAATAATCCTTAAAGCCATGTTAAGAGCTAACAAAAATCAATTACCATGCATTCCCCTACTCATGTACAATCAATTTTCTGGGGAACATATTAAGATTTTGAGAACAGCCAGCCAAATCAACACATACACATACATGTATTACTCAAAGCAAAACACAATAAACGTAGACACTACTGTTACTTTTAGCAACCAAACAGTATGGCTACCTTAAAAACTTCAAACTTACCATTCATGAGCGTCTTCCACCACAGTAGACATTGGGCTGATCTGTACAGTATACGTATCATTGGCAGAGTATTCAAAAAGTCCATAGTACGGGTTAAAGAGTTCACGAGAAAGAAGAAAAAAGAATTCACGTGACGGGCCACCATAATCCAAGCTAAAATATACAACAAACAATTAACATAGTCATAATCCTACAGGCAAATCTGTCTTTACTTCATCAAGAATATCAATTCAAATGTAATTTTTTTTAGTTGCCTTCCAAAGTTTTGTCCTGACGACCTTTGTATACTGTAGATTACTAAATTCTCGTGACACCTTATTTTCACAAGACAGTCATTAACTCTTTATTAGCGAGATGAAATTTTCACAAATTGTGGTTATATTGCTATAAATAATCTTAACGAATACTAATATAAATGAGAATGAAATTTTTGCAAGCATACCGTCTTGCATGATTACGCAAAAATAAAGTTCTTGTGAATAAAAAGTGATTTCAGTACACAGTATAGAATACCCACCCTTCCTCTCCTACAAACGTGATGTACAGTTTGTATACACAGTATAGAATACCCACCCCTCCTCTCCTACAAACGTGATGTACAGTTTGTATACACAGTATAGAATACCCACCCTTCCTCTCCTACAAACGTGATGTACAGTTTGTATACACAGTATAAAATACCCACCCCTCCTCTCCTACAAACGTGATGTACAGTTTGTATACACAGTATAGAATACCCACCCTTCCTCTCCTACAAACGTGATGTACAGTACACAGTATAGAATACCCACCCCTCCTCTCCTACAAACGTGATGTACAGCTTGTATACACAGTATAGAATACCCACCCTTCCTCTCCCACAAACGTGATGTACAGTTTGTATACACAGTATAGAATACCCACCCTTCCTCTCCCACAAACGTGATGTACAGTTTGTATACACAGTACAGAATACCCACCCTTCCTCTCCTACAAACGTGATGTACAGTACACAGTATAGAATACCCACCCTTCCTCCCCAACAAACGTGATGTACAGTTTGTATACACAGTATAGAATACCCACCCCTCCTCTCCTACAAACGTGATGTACAGCTTGTATACACAGTATAGAATACCCACCCTTCCTCCCGAACAAACGTGATGTACAGTTTGTATACACAGTATAGAATACCCACCCTTCCTCCCCAACAAACATGATGTACAACTTGTATACACAGTATAGAATACCCACCCTTCCTCTCCTACAAACGTGATGTACAGTTCACATTATAGAATACCCACCCTTTCTCTCCTACAAACGTGATGTACAGTTTGTATACACAGTATAGAATACCCACCCTTCCTCTCCTACAAACGTGATGTACAGTTTGTATACACAGTATAAAATACCCACCCTTCCTCTCCTAGAAACGTGATGTACAGTTTGTATACACGGTATAGAATACCCATCCTTCCTCTCCCACAAATGTGATGTAAAGTACACAGTATAGAATACCCACCCCCTCTCTCCAACAAATGTGATGTACAGTACACAGTATAGAATACTCACCTCTCCTCTCCTACAAACGTGATGTACAGTTTGTATACACAGTATAGAATACCCACCCCTCCTCTCCTACAAACGTGATGTACAGCTTGTATACACAGTGTAGAATACCCACCCTTCCTCTCCCACAAACGTGATGTACAGCTTGTATACACAGTATAGAATACCCACCCTTCCTCTCCTACAAACGTGATGTACAGTACACAGTATAGAATACCCACCCTTCCTCTCCTACAAACGTGATGTACAGTTTGTATACACAGTATAGAATACCCACCCTTCCTCTCCTACAAACGTGATGTACAGCTTGTATACACAGTATAGAATACCCACCCTTCCTCCCCAACAAACGTGATGTACAGCTTGTATACACAGTATAGAATACCCACCCTTCCTCCCCAACAAACGTGATGTACAGTTTGTAAACACAGTATAGAATACCCACCCTTCCTCTCCTACAAACGTGATGTATGGTTTGTATACACAGTATAAAATACCCACCCCTCCTCTCCTACAAACGTGATGTACAGTTTGTATACACAGTATAGAATACCCATCCTTCCTCTCCCACAAATGTGATGTACAGTACACTGTATAGAATACCCACCCCTTCTCTCCCACAAACGTGATGTACAGCTTGTATACACAGTAAAGAATACCCACCCCTCCTCTCCTACAAACGTGATGTACAGTTTGTATACACAGTATAGAATACCCACCCCTCCTCTCCACAAACACGATGTACATCTTGTATACACAGTATAGAATACCCACCCCTCCTCTCCTACAAACGTGATGTACAGCTTGTATACACAGTATAGAATACCCACCCTTCCTCTCCTACAAACGTGATGTACAGCTTGCTCTTCTTCAGCAGTTCCTTCTTTGTCGTTCCCATTATCTTGTTAAAAGCATCCTCTAAAACATGGTCTCTTCTCACCATTAGCCTGAATCAGATCATAAACACATACAGTAGATGTATATGTATGTAAATGAATCTAATATTCTGGTCATGTTAAGTCTTTAGCAATACTGTATCTATGAGAAAAGGACAATCAAGTTTACAAATCCCACACCGTTCCACTTAAAAAGCTGAACATGACGTTTAATTTCTTTTCAAAAAATTCTAAAAAGCTACAGGCAGGCTTTATTTTCTAACTACTTAGGTACCATGACCATTCTTGTCTTGATACGCAGTACATTCTTACTTTAATTTGGAAGGTCCCTGTCCGTAACCCTTGCTCTCTAGCTTTCTATAGAAGCTGCGTAGCTTGGCCTGGAAATCTCGTTTGTATGGAGCATGAACTCTCATGTTAGCTCTCTGTACATCTGTAAAAAAAATTTAGTCGCTGTTGAAACGATTCTCATTATATCAATACCAAACACCTGTCTCAAGATACCATTGCATTATTTAATGCATCTCATTCATGTACAGTGTACTTAAGTTCTTATTATTGGTACATGTACACTGATGATTCGAGTCATTTTATTCAGCACTTAGGGAAAACATCACATGCCACTTAATCATACACATGTACTTAACAGGTAAGTTGATGTAAAAGTGGTATAAAAATAAACTTACTTGGTGATCCTTGAGGGGTTTCCCCCGGGGAATCCCCTGGTACACTGGCTTGTAGAAGGTTCTGAGGCACATAAGACATAATCTCATTTTCATATAGACTGTTTGGAGAAAAAAAGGGAAAACAACTTAATAAACACACAACTGCATAAAGACTAGAAAACTGACCAGTCAGCAAGGGCCCCACCGAGGGGTAGAAATATAAGAGTGCAGCTTACAGAATAAGAATTTTAATTGATTACAAAAATTTAAAAATATATGAAGAAGAATATGCAATAACAACTGTATTTATAAAATTAAAATTTCAAGATAATTCCTAAATATCCAACAACCTGTAAAGAGTATCCCTGTATTTACATAAGGCAGTAAAAAACATCATATCTATAATAACTCAGTTAAATGTATATTCAAACAAGAATAAAGCATGTGTTTTCAAATATCACCCAGGCTTGACCTTAACTTCAAAACACACATCAGTTGCAGACAAAGGTTAATTTATCTTAAAGTGACAAATAAAGATAAGCCTGGAAAATTTTCTGCCCAAGACAAGATAATTAATCCCAAGGGATTAATTGTACTGCTCTCTTATCCTTTTCTTCCAAGTTTACAATAAGAACTCTTTCAGTAATGATAGAATGAGTTTATTATTGGACTACCTGTTAAAATTAATAGTATTCTTGAATTTACAATGGCAGCCAAAAAAAAAAAAGAATAAATAAATACATGTAAAAACAAAAAAATTAAAAAAACAGCTTTATGTATATCTTGTTTTTAGAATTCAATAAAATCATAACTCATTGTAAATTTTACCAATATAAAGTATGAACATTATTTAAATCCACATTTCAGAGAATGTAAACATTCAGAATTGACCTTAACTTCAAAACAAACTTCATTTGCAGACTGAGGTGTTAATTAATCTCAATTTGACAGAAACAGATAATGCTTTGGATTTTCTTCAAGAGGAAAGTTAATTAATCCCATGGGACTAGTTGCAGCTTTCATACTTTACAATTGGAACAGTTATCTCTCTCTGCCCTGGCATTCATTCTAATGTAAAGTTAAGGAATCTACCCCACCACCCCAGCTCCAAACTGGATGACATAGAGAACCAAACTTAGCATCAAAATATGTCTTACTGCCTCTTCAACCAACATACCAAATTTGAACTTAATTGATCAACTACAAAAAAAGTTATTAGAAAAAAACAGAAAATTTGTGGACGGAAGAATGACAGACGGACAGACAGACAGAGTGAGTACTATAGGGCACCTGCAAATCCTTGTGGGGCCCTAATTACACTTTTAGGTTTAAATTTCATTCCAAATATTTACTTATTTACATGTATAATTTTTTTTTAAAGTTTCAACACGTTTTATTTTTGAGAAAGGGGAGGTAATTGAGAAAAGCACACAGACCTGAGCAGAATGATAAGATCCACATCGTTACTCAGTTTGTCTAGGGCTTCAGTCCCCTCGCTACGGATTTTGTTGATCTTTTCTTTTAACCGGGTACTGTTGTTATAAGCAGAGTACTTTTCTTGAAGAATCTCCCCAATGTTGGCTTGTCTCAGAAACAAAACAACCTTATCATTGTAAGCTACAAAAAAATTGTCTTCATAAAAACTTGGAATAAATCCATAAATCAATGTAAAAAAAATGTACTTTAAAAGAAACTCAATTTACTTGTACAAGATCAATTTTCATTTCAATTTTCATTTCAATTAGCTTGAAAATAAACTTTAAGACTACTGCAGTTAATCTTTATCAATATTTTGTTACACTGTATTGATATGATGTCCAAGTAAATGTACTTGTCAATGACTTTAGTGTATCTTTATAAAATAAAAGTCTTTAGTACATGACTGTATTTCTGTTTGACATGTATATATTTTCTGTGTTAGAAGGCACATTGTCAATAGTCAGTATGTACATTTGTACATGTAAATGAATACTGAGAATGACAGATCTATAGTGAAAACAAGAGACTACATATGCAATGCTGTTGCAGGGAGAAGTAATTCTTTACTGTCCTGAAATGCTTACATTGTCAACATCTCCAAGCAATAAATTTATACAATGTAAAAACACAAATATACATGCACTATGTTATAGTTATATAAAGCATTTTCTGATCTAGAATAAGAGTTGGTGGTAAATTATTACAATCATCAAATGCACATTTTCAAACTTTCTCACAACCTTTCACAATTTACTTGACTCTGCAATCAATTTTTTCATAGCCTCTAGGATAATTTTTATAAGTTCATGTACAGGCATTTTAGCAAATAACTGGCATATATTCATAAAAGAATAAAACACATACCACATAATATACCACTCTTTTTTTGTTTATCTATAAATATTTTCAACATCTGAAAATACGTGTCTATGATCAAATGTTCACATAATGTGTTTACATACTGCATATACATGTACATGTATATAATAAGCTCATGAGCTGTGACATGTTCATAAAATGCTTTGACACATAAACACAAATACAACTTAGAAGTTTCACAAAGAATCATGCTTAGTGGTGAAGAAAGTGCTTTTAACCATGTGGAAATATATAGAACTTAAGAAAAAGGACACCTTACCTGTTGGTACAACTGTTGGCTCATCAGGTACTGGGGCTCTAGGAGGAGGTGTTGGCTAAAAAAAACCAAAAAGTTGTCAACCTTTTAGCAATAAACATACAGAGTTGAAGGCTTTGATGTAATTTCTACATCAATATTTTTGGATTAGGGACTACAAGAAAACAATAGGCCCATGGTCCATAAAGCTCAACTCAGTCACCTTCTCTATGCAAATAGAGAAATTAAACCCCTTATTGTAGTCACCAAATTGTAGTCTGTGATTTCAATAATTGTATATTGACACTTGATATCAAACTGCCAACTTTTAAAATTGTAGCATTCTTCTTCTTGCATATCAATATATATTTCTGGATAAAAAATTCTTAACTGTAGCCCCAACCTAGTCCTAAGACCATGCTTTAAACAACTTGAATCTACATTGCATAAGTATATGACTAATTGTGGTCCTGTTGTTTTTAAGATTTTGAGATTTTTCTTATACATGCATAATCCAAGATCCCCTAATCTGGCCCCATTATTATCACTGCCGTATTCATAACTCTGGAGAACTAAGGAGAAAGATGATCAAAGGCTAGATGCATTCAATCACAAATGCCTTCTGGAAATCCTGAAGATACACTGGTCAGGTAAGATCTCATATCCATAACTTTATGACAGAGAATAAGAACCATCTAAAACAATCAAAGCACAACAATGGAAAGGCCACATTCTCCAAAGAGACACTAGTTCCAGCATGAGAACTGCATTACCATGGGCTCCTAAAGGAAGACCAAAAAACACAAGGAGGTGCACAGTAGAGAGAGAAAAAGAACTGGGGTGAAACAGTTGGAGGGGAGTGTATGTTGTTGCCAGTGTCTGTTGTAAGTGGTGTTATTTGTTGCATTTGTTACAAAATAAAATATTTCTTTTCCATTCTTTCAAAGTAATTCAGAATATGTTAAACTCAATTTCTGTAGACTGAAACATAAATTCTTGAAGAAAGACAAAAGAGAATACCCATAATAAACAACTAAATTGTACATGTTTACAGTAATTTCAATTCTTACTGCATGATTGGTTCTGACTGGGCTATCACTTCCCTCACGTCTCCCGCGGTTACGGAACAATAATGACGTGTGTAGGAAGTCTGTGTTGATTGGTGGGATATCTGTTGGCAGACGGGGGTCAATAAAGGTCGTCAGTTTCTGATTGTGGTCAATGAAAAATGTCTACAACAACAAGAAATGTCATTCTTTTACTTTCTAATTATTTTTTAATAAATAAATTAAAACATGTTGAGAAGTTACTGTATAAATATGTATATGCACTTGGAGAGAAACATGTATTTTTCAAAATTTTAATTAACTCTTGCGATCATATACAGCACTAGTGTTAAAAAGCACAAATAATTAACAAAAAGAACAAATCACACAGAATATGTAGTACATGTACAGAACACAGCATTACATACGGTGAAATATTTCAGGAACTTGTACATTCACCCATTATCTTAAACTCACAGCAACATATTACTGATATATGTATATGTAGCTTACTTTTCCTCCTCTGTCAAATTTCATCTCCCAGTTAGCTGGCAGTTCCTTACTGCTGTCAGCAAAATGATTCAGGAATGACACAAGGTCTCTATTGTGCTGGTATCTATGATGGGAAGCACATTTCATCAAAGATTATAGCATTAACTAATAGACTCAAAAAGCAAAGAATAAAGGCAACTCTTAATTGAAATTTAAGCTCCTCCTTTCTCCCACCTTTCAAAGTTGTGTTGATCGCGGCGGATTTTACTGATCATGTGTTTGAGTGTACCATTACGGTTATATTCTGCCATTGCTCTCTACAATGATACAAATATATTAAAAATAATGTATGAAATTTCACTTAGGTTTCCAAATTGGGTACTTTGGTGTTTTGTGCATACAGCAAAATAACACCATAAATAATCAAAAGAAGATTGCAGTATACATAGCAAAAGTTTTCAATTAACATTTGAAGTTTTTTTTTCCTTCTTTCATAAGTATGGAATCTTAATTTAATAAATGTTCAAGCTCATCATAATTTACAAAATGTCAATTTCTCATCCAAATTAAGATGAAAATAAAATTTTCCATCTTACGTCATTGCCCTGCAGAAGAGGGAAGAAATCAGAGCGGGTGAGAAACTTGACAGCTGGCATTCTGTTGTCCCCAGGCTCTGGGGCAGGGCTTCGTGAAGGGGGCGGGGAGGTGACGGGAAGGGGTACCCGAGATTGTGCTGACGTCTGTGGACTATTGTCACTTCCTCCTACATGTATAAACAAGAACGAAAGTCAAAACAAGTCAATTGTTGATGAAAAAGGGGGTTAAATATGAAAAAAAAAATATTGCTGCGCACTGTAGATTCATATATAAACACTCTAGGTTCTGACATATGATGAGAAGCAATCTATTTTATCAAATGTAACTGGTGTCCAAATTTTATATCACAAGTGTCATCCAGAAACAATTCACTATATCAATTTATATTTTTCATAAATTTGTACTGCCTGGTGAAAATAACTCTTACTCTATACAAACTGACATCAACTAATTTCAATTTACACTTTCAAATGAATCTACAATATGTATATTCACTTTTTCAGAAGTACTCATGATCAGTGAAGAGTAGGACCAATTCAATAATGCTGAATATTTTCCATTTTTTCACCTGTAATAAAACCTCACTCACCTGATGAAGTACTTTCGGTTGGAGTGTCCTGTTCAGATCGAGGTTGGTTGATTGTTCGACGGATGCTCTGATATCTGAAATGTTTTGTGAAATTTTTGTGTAAATGATAGAAAATATTATAACAACACAACATTGCTAGTCATTCCCTGTCAAACAGTGAAGAATTCTTAATATCAAACAACCATAACAAGATCAATATTTCCATTTTTTAAAAATTCTATACAATGTACACACTTCCAAAATATACATGTGAATTTTATATGTACACACAAAATTGCAAGGCAATCAAAATGATGATTTTCAGTAGAGCTAGTCAACAAAGAAAGTATGAATAGAATACATGAATGTAGTCGCCTCAGCACACACCACTGCCTATTAATTCATACCTCCTGTCCAGTTGTTGTCGCTGTTCGGAGCTGATGGTCGGCCGGCGTTGGATGGTTCGCTGGCCACTCTGTGGTTTTTGCCAAGTGGTGGTCCTGTTGGTGTGGTCAATGTAGAATATTCGGCCATGACTGTCTACTCGAGCCTCCCAACCTAAATGAAGGCAGTAATTGAAAGTTATTTAAGGATTTATAGACATGAACAGGTAAATTATACATGTATATACACTCTACATTTACCAACTCAGTTCACAACATAATGATACTGAATAGTTAATTTTCACAAAATTTTAATGAACTGAACTGAAAAAGACAATACATGTACAATACACAGAGAAGAATGAAATATTATACCTATAGTTCATAAAGCATTCTTCTTCTAAAGAGACCCCCACCTAGAAAAATTGATTAGGATCACTTACCAGGAGGAAGGGGCTGATCCCCTGGGGGTGGATCCACTCTGTGGTACCTTTTCCTGGCAGGCAGTTTTGGAAGTGGTGATTGGCTGCCCTCTATAAGAGTCATGGCAAAATCATCATCAAATCCTTATTTGTACAATTATCTTATGTAAGCAACAAGCAAATCTTAACAGTGTAACTTCAAAACAGGGCTTGAATTTCAGTAATAACAGTCCTTATAAATACTGCAGTGTGCACCAAAAGCACTAGCACGATACCCAAACACTAGTAAAAATTTGGTCAGGCTAGTAAATGTAGGTCAGCCCTATCAGACTCGTAAAATTTTCAGCAATAATTATCCATTTCCATCGCAGTATTTTAAAAAAAATTTTATCTGAAAATATTAATAATCTTGATTGAACATTTTTCGACTTTCTCAACGATTGTTATCTTTCTGTCCATGCTTAGTTTGGTTATTTATAATTTGTCGTTCCTAGTCTCCATGTTTAAATGGCTAAAAAAAGAAGAAGAAAAAATTGAGACAAAGACTGTCACTGACATCAAGAAGCTCTCTGCATAAAACAGAAAGATAGGGAGACAGTGGACCATGACTCAGTTAGGAATATAATGTAATGAAATGTTTATAGTGCATCGAACTGCATCCATGTGTGTAAAACAAAAACAGTTTTATTACTGGATCAAATATTTTTGCATGGATGCCGTTGTGTCACGTGACAATAAAATGACAGTTCATAGAAGTTTAATTTTTTAAATTAAATATGAGCCTTGGTTTAATTTAAAAGAATGAAATGGAACTGTCATTTTATTTTTCACACTTTTAAGGGGGATAGTAAAATGTGATGTGCGCTAGTTAAATTTTGCCACTGCTAGCCAGACTATGCAAGTGTTGAAAAAAAATTTTTAATGCACATTGATAATGTAAAATCACTTATTTTTACAGGCCAAATTTTCATGGGTTGAGAAAATTGGTTGGTCGGGATTTGATTTTGTGGTTGAGGAAGTGAAGTCTTAATCACAATTTCAACATTTAATGTTGGACATGAATTATGGTCTCTTTATACCAAGAAAACAACAAAAATTAAGCCTGCATGAAAATACTATATACAGGGAAATTTTTGCCCCAGTTTTAAGTCGTCCTTTTTGCCCTACCCTCAGTTTGGCAAATTTTAAACGGGGCAAATTCAAAGAATACAGTATAATTTCTTATACAGAACTGTGACTGGGCGAATTTAAAATGGGGCAAATTTGATTGCAAGTGTGAAAGGGTAAAAATAACACTGGGCGAAAATAACCCTGTATACAGTAAGTGAAATAATAGTAGCCTTGTTTACCTTTGTTTGTGGATGCTTGTTTAGGTTCTATTTTATTGGTTGACTGCCTGAGCTGCCAAACTGTTGATCGAGACTCAGATTTACTGGCTCCAGATTTGGCACTTGATGACTTTCCGGCACCTGGCTGAGGTCTTGGTGAGTTGCTAGGTGTGGCATTACCTGCTGAAGTAGATGGTTTGTCTGGTTTATCACTGGTTGTCTGGTTTTCACTATCGGTAGATAACACGGCACCGGAATCTTCCTCTGAATCAGGCTTAGATTTTTCTTTTTGTTTTTGGGTCCATAATTGTAGTTGCTGAACAATTTGTTCACGGTTTTGTTGTTTTTCCTCATCACTTAAGACACGACTGAGGGCATTTCTAGGAATTATGCGTGGTGGAGTTCCAGAGTCTGATATAGAGCTGGCAGATCTATCCAAAGGAGCCCTTACTGGGGTAGTAACAAAGGTTTCATTATTTCTAAAGTTTCTTTCTGTAGGTGCAGCTATACTATGTCGACTTGCATATTTCCTTTGTTCGGCCACTGAATCACTATATGAAGTTTGCATAGAAGGACTCGGACTAGTTCTTGGGCTACACTCCACAGATCGACTCACTGTGCTCGAGTTTCTGAGTCTTTCAGGTGACACAGCTGACTCTGTGCCACTCATCATGGACACCTGTGAAAACACATTGCTATTGTTTGTCAGTTGTCTAGCTGGTAATTTAGTCACAACACTTCTAGGTCTATTATGCACTTCAGATTCAGATCTCAGAGCCCTTGGGCATGACCTCCTCGGACTGTCCACTTCATCTGTTGTCTCAGATGATGGGGATGAGATTTCTGCCTCCTGAACACCAGCTGGAGATGACTCTAATGTCTCCTGTTCTTCTCCACACTCCTGAGAATCCCCTGAACTCTCCAAACTGTTTGAACTTGTTCCCTCCCCTTCCTCTTGTTCAGTTTCCACCGTCTGCTGTTGTGGACTACTATGAGACACAGTGATTGGACTATAAGTACGGGGTGGTAAGGGGGGAGGTTCCAAACTATGACAAGTCCTTGATACATCTGTGCTAGGAGGTCTAGGTGTGGGGGGCTCTGACCTAGATTCTGACACAGTGTCTGGTGAAATTTGCACAGTTCCTACTCCACTAGCAGGAAATGTAGGTCTCTCCCCTCTTTCAGGTGTTCGAGGGGGTAGAGGAGGGGCATCGGTCATCTTGTACCGAGGGGGTAATGGGGGAGCCTTATAGGTCCGTGGTGGGAGCACAGGTGGTTTGGGGGGTATGTCATTCATGACTAAATTTACCTCACTATCTAGAGAGCTATCTAACACTTCAGGAGCTTCCTCCTGTTTGTTTTTGGCACAATTTAAAAACTCCAGTGGATCACGGCCATTTCTATTCACTATCTGAGGTGAAACGTCTGATCCACTGGAATTGTCTCCACTTGATGGCACAGCAGAGGACAAACCTGAACTAATATCACATGTTTCACCCTGATTTGATTCTTCTGTCCGAGTTTCCTCTGTATCCTCAGAAAAATTACACACTATGTCTGGTACACATGGTAGACTGGTACCCTCACTTTCAGTTGGAACATTATCACATTCCACTTCAATTACATCGTCTTCAATTTCACCACTGATACGGTCCCTTAATAACTGCGTTAAGGATATCCCAGAATCCTCTTGGTCATCTACTGAATCATCCTTTGAAATGGAGCCGTTTTCAGACACTGACTCAGGATTTTCAATGCCTGCACTTTGTTTAGTTGATTCTTGTAATCCTAGGTATATATAAGGAATGATTCAGGTTAAAGCTTCATGTATACATAACATACCTCTAGATCAATTCTCAGTTCATTTAGATTTTGTTTGCTTGGAAAATTTTCCTACATATCACACCACTTAATTTCATTACTCGATATTAAGTGTGCAGTCAAAAAATCAAACTGGACAATCACAAATAATAGGGAGCAGAAAGATGTGCTAATATTTGGTTCTCTTTTTACAATTGCCAGTAACGTACAGCTAGGATGGTATGTAATTCAATTTAATATATGTATTTATGGAGACAAACAGCTGTTATTTCTATGTTATACTTTTATTAACAGGAACTATTATTATTATTCTCCTTCTTTTGGCTCACCTGATCTGAACTCCAGGTCTATCACATCAGCACCAAACTTAAGAGTACCACTGACATTGTCTGTGGGGTTCCTCTTTGTCAGATCTAGACAGAATTCTGCAGGTCTGTTTAAATACAAATCCAAAATATCAACATATTTATACTAGGCATTGCTAAGAACACCACAGAGAAATAATATCCATGTATGGTTATAACAATACACTTTCTAGAGTGGATGAATACTGGGAAATAAAATACCACATATAAACTATTTCATAAACTCTAGAAAAAAAAGATATGACAATCTTTCACTTATTATGCAATAAAAAAATATCCCTTCATAGACTTTCTTACCTTCTTATTGGAATGTAACAAAACTTTAGTTTGTATAAAAGGAAGTAAATGACAGTGATACATGTGTAAGTGCTGTGTCAAGGAGGATAGTACTAAGATTTACTGTACACATATATATAACCACTTCCCTATCCTGGTTTGACCGTCAGTAGGTTTGTGTGTAATGTCAGATTTACTTATGTCAACTGTATTAATACATTATTAATTAACCCTATGAAATAATATTTTTATATTTTAACTGAAATATGTGTATCTGTTTGATATCCTTTTATATAAATTTGCACTGTCATTAAGGAAGAGACACTTGACAACAATTACAATCATTCAAGGATTTTTGAGATCAAGCATTATCTCAATGGATGTTATCTTCTCTTTTTATGTAGATAATACAGTAATTGTGTACATGAAAAGAACAGTAAACATCTTTCACCAAAAAAAAAATTTTTAATTTCTTACAAAGGCAATCCATGTTTTTAGCTCTCAGATATTATATACATGTATTTAAGCAAAAGTTTTTGTTACATAAATAAGCAACTGCCTGTTTATACAGCTATATGTGCACTGCTATATGGGTACACTACATGTATGTAAAAATACATGATTTGGTTTGTATAACATGTTTGTATAGTTACATGTATATGTACCATAGTACATATTTGTACTGATACATGTTTGTATTGAAGTAACCATAAAGCAGCTTAACTAATTTTTTTGTGTTTTACTCTTTTTTTCCATATATAAATGAGGTACAAAAGAACAATAGACAACAACACATTATTCATGCTAGCACAGCTGACTCAATTTCTATGTATTCCTGCACTCTGCTTTAGTATGATATTAGAGTTTTTAACCTCCAATATGCTACACGTAAGTATAATTTATGCTTTCATAATTCTGCTGATGCTTAGAATACTTTAAACTTGGATTCTATTGCATAATAATGTTTCTATATATGTCCCCTCAACAACAACATTATTAACAGTCTGAGAGCAAATATAAAATTGGTTTTATAAATATTAAAATAACCTCCAGGCAGGAAGGAGATGAAGTAAATACACTGATAAAGTTACTGCCAATGCACGGAATCTAAATATACAATTCACCTTTCAGTGAATTCAGTTGTTTATAATGTTGTCAAATACAGGATGTCTAATCCGACAAATTTCTATGGAACCAGTGGTGACCAGATTAGATAAGTTCTACTGTATTAAAGTAATCTTTTTTCAAGTCTATTACACAGTCTGAAGGATACTTACTCTCTTTCTGTCTTATCAATGATTCTTTGTACAGAGAGTGTGGCTTTCCCCAGGAACCGGTTAATGGAGGGCCGACTCTTAGAAAATTTATCTTTGATTTCAAAATCCAGAACATCTGTGGGAACAGACTCAAAGGAAAAAGACTAGAAAAGGAAATGAATTATTTAATGATAAATATCAGGTGGGGGTGAATCATATGAATTGAGGAATCCATTAAAGAATAGGATTTAATAAAACTTAAATTTTAAGTGGCATTTAACATGAATTTTATGGACATTAAACAGTACAACTTGCTCGGTATCCGTACCAATTGGTACCATACTGACTAGGTGTTCAAAAATTACTGGTAAATACTGTTTCATTTAATACCCCTACCTATATCAGTATTTCAAGGTCCTCTCTTTATGTATAATACATTCAAATTACTTCAACATAACTAAATTCTTTTTGAAAATATATTACTCACAGAATTGGGCCTTGCTTTTCAATTAATAACTGTTGATTACAATAAATTGTAGATTGGTATTGTTAATTCTGTTTTACTGTAAATGATTACAGTTTACATAAAGAAAAACTATCAAAAACTAGAAAGCTAAAAAGTGAAATTGATCACTCTGATCACTCTATCATTTTTCCTGTACTCTGTATAGTGTCGACTTCTTGTTTCATCCTGAACAACTGAGAAAAATTCTTTATGTCAAACTTGTTATCAAACAGCTTTGTGATCAAAGCATCATCAAAAGTATTGCGTCATTTAAAAAATACAGGAATGGTATCATAACAATTCAACACTGACCTGCCCCCGCCAAACAGGGTTTGTTGTAGAATTACACACACCAGTGCGTATCTCTCTCAGGTGGTGACTCATTTTTGGACACATTTTTCCGGGTAGCACAGTCATCTTTACATAGGGGTCTGGGTTAAAGAACATTCCTTTCTTCAGATTCACAGCTTCAATGTCTGCAAAATAACAAAAGTTTACCATATTTTGGGGGGAAATTAATTTTTTTTAAATATTTATAAAGAATATCATATTGCATTGTTTGAAAAATATTTTTAGAGCAAGTTAAAAAAGTCATTGGTCAAAAGATACATATTTGCTTGATATTTTAACATATCAGAAGCTTACTACTTTTCATTCAGAACTATATATGTATATATATATATATATATATATATATATATATATATATATATATATATATATATATATATATATATATATATATGCAAACTTGGAAATATAAGAATAAACATTCAGATAGTCATTTCTAAAATTACTAATCAATATAAACTACACAATTAAACTTCTTTATTGCATTCTGAAGTAATTTGTATTGAGAATAGGCATATGTTCTGCAGGTATTGTGAGAGTTATTTCCCTTAAAAAAAGCACCATCATACAATATAAAGGGATTGTAATATAACTTTCAAAATATATTTCAGTTACATGCATATCAAATCAATACTGGTGGTTAAAGGTCCTTTCATGTTTATAAACTGTCTCACCACTTGGTTTTAAAACTCTGATGATGTGTGTATGTGCGTATTTGCAAATTAGTTTTCTGTAACTTTTTCCTTTCAAAATCCTAATTTTCATCTCTTCATTGTACCAGTGAATTCACTAGAATCATGTCTGCTATGAAGTCATGTCAATCAAACAGTAAGAGTTTTACCCGTGATCTTCAGTGTTATTTTATGTCTATCAGACAGTAACAGTTTTACCTGTGATCTTCAGTTTTATTTTATGTCTATCAGACACTATCAATTTTACCCATGATCTTCAGTGTTATTTTATGTCTATCAGACAGTAACAGTTTTACCCGTGATCTTCAGTTTTATTTTATGTCTATCAGACACTATCAATTTTACCCATGATCTTCAGTGTTATTTTATGTTTATCAGACACTATCAATTTTACCCGTGATCTTCAGTGTTATTTTATGTCTATCAGACAGTATCAGTTTTACCTGTGATCTTCAGTGTTATTTTATGTCTATCAGACACTATCAATTTTACCCGTGATCTTCAGTTTTATTTTATGTCTATCAGTTTAACCCATTATCTTCAGTTTTATTCTATATCATTCAGTAAGAGTTTTACCCGTTATCTTCAGTTTTATTTTTCTATTTATATCTCTGCTTGTGATTCCATTTTCAACAGATTCCTCCTAAAAAAAGAAAAAGACATCACTTATAAAACTTAAGATATTCCTGGAAATTTAAATGATTCAGATTTTTATCTATACCTACAATGTACTTCTACATGTGAAGTACATGTAATCGATGTATATTACTTTTTTCTCACTGGCTTTGGAATAAGACTACAGACTTAGAAGGTAATTTTTTTCTCTCCTTTTTTCATTCCAAGTATATTTATTGCAAAAATTGTTGAAACTTTATCATCCATAAATTTGAGTGTCCAAATATACAAAAATTATAATGAAATTAACAATACTTAATAACAACAACTGAGATACCTTTGGAGAGGCAGGTTTCACAACTTTGACAGAGGGACTTGTGGCCACCAGATCTTGGTTACTGCCGAGGTAATACTTGAAGCAAATCTTTGTTTCACCTAATCAACAACAAATAACCATGATGATTAATTGTAACACAAAGCTATAGGTTTCTGTCAAATACTGATAGAAATACCAAGAATAAAATGCTCAGAAAACTATTATCTAGTTCTTTTTTCTTTTCTTTTTTTTTCCCATAAGAATATTAAATACAACTAGTTGTACCCATATGCCATGACATATCACATGCAATATAATAAAGGCTCATTCATTTGTCTAGGAATCATCATGATCATACAACTTTATTATTTTTTTATTTTCTTTTTGAACATTTTATCATCTTAATTCAAGATCTCATAACCAATTAACAAATAAAGGATGTACAATTTCCTGTGCTGTACAGAGTCATCTACACCCTTATTCAAGCACGTGCATGTACTTCATAGAGCACGACTAAATCTTGGCAGATTTCCCAACAGCAGATACAAAATAGTTTGATCAGGAAATCCTCAATTCATATCTTCATTTTTTGTCATGCATACATGTTAGAACTAAGTCATGAACAGGATTAACAATTATAATTAACAATAATAATGAAGTATTCTGGGGATTTTTATTTTTTTTTAATCATTGAATTCTTCTGAAGACATGGATTCCATACAGCTCAAAGTGAAGTATACTGTCTATAGTATGATACATATCAATATTAATTTCATATGTATAAGAGATGTAGATAGAGGATATTCAATGTTTTGTAGATGAATATGGAATTTATTTCACGAGTGGGACAGGATTTTTTGATATTTTCACGAGTGCGAAGCACGAGTGAAAATATCAAAAAATCCTGTCTCACGAGTGAAATAAATTCCATATTTATCTACAAAACATTGAATTTTCTGTTTATTACATTTTCTTTGAATTTCTCTTTGCCTCTGTCTTTTCTTAACACAGTGTCATAGCTAGGCTTGACGTCATAGTTGAGCGGTTAAGACGTCATAGCTTAGCAGTTGTGAGATTGAAAACATTACATAGCATGGATTTTAGCAACATATTTTGGAAGAAAATTGCAGTTTTAGCTCTATCAAGATGTTTAGTTACTATCTCTATCTTATGACAGGTCAGAAATTATTTTTTACTTACTTTGATATCCTTTCACACTGTGAGAGAATATCATTTTGGTATCCTTTCACACTGTGAGAGAATATCACTTTTATTCAATAAATAAATCACAGTATTTCACTATTGAAAATGTAATAAATCTTGATCTTTGATATGTATACAATTGATTAACTGGTCACTACATTTACCTAATATAAAGTAATACCACTATTATGACTGATATTAATACCTGCTGTAAATGTGTACATGATGGCTGAAAGATCCCACGGGTCTCTAGAATTACCTGCTGTAAAGTTGTATGTGATGTCGGACAGATCCCATTGGTCACTAGAATTACCTGCTGTAAAGTTGTATGTGATGTCGGACAGATCCCATTGGTCACTAGAATTACCTGCTGTGAAGTTGTTTGTGATGTCGGACAGATCCCATTGGTCACTACAATTACCTGCTGTAAAGTTGTATGTGATGTCAGACAGATCCCATTGGTCACTAGAATTACCTGCTGTAAAGTTGTACATGATGTCTGATGGATCCCACTGGTCACTAGAATTACCTGCTGTAAAGTTGAACTTGATGTCTGACAGATCCCATTGGTCACTAGAATTACCTGCTGTAAAGTTGTTCATGATGTCTGACAGATACCACTGGTCACTAGAATGACCTGCTGTAAAGTTGTCCATGATGTCTGACAGATCCCACAGTCACTAGAAATACCTGTAGTAAAGTTGTACATGAAATCTGACAGATCCCATTGGTAACTACAATTACCTGCTGTAAAATTGTATGTGATGTTGGACAGATTTCATTGGTCACTAGACTTACTTGCTGTAAAGTTGTACGTGATGTCGGACAGATCCCATTAATCTCTAGAATTACCTGCTGTAAATGTGTACCCGATGGCTGAAAGATCCCATTGGTCACTAGAATTACCTGCTGTAAAGTTGTGCATGATGGCTGAAAGATCCCATTGGTCACTAGAATTACCTGCTGTAAAGTTGTGCGTGATGGCTGAAAGATCCCATTGGTCACTAGAATTACCTGCTGTAAAGTACGTGATGTCTGACAGATCCCATTGGCTACTAGAATTACCTGCTGTAAAGTTGTACATGATGTCTGACAGATCCCATTGGTCACTAGACTTACCTGCTGTAAAGTTGTACGTGATGTCTGACAGATCCCATTAGTTACTAGAATTACCTGCTGTAAAGTTGTACATGATGTCTGACAGATCCCATTGGTCACTAGAATTACCTGCTGTAAAGTTGTAAGTGATGTCTGACAGATCCCATTAGTTACTAGAATTACCTGCTGTAAAGTTGTATGTGATGTCTGACAGATCTCACTGGTCACTAGAATTACCTGCTATAAAACTGTATGTGATGTCGGACAGATCTCAATAGTCACTAGAATTACCTGCTGTACAGTTGTACGTGATGTCGGACAGATCCCATTGGTCTCTAGAATTACCTGCTGTAAAGTTGTACGTGATGTCGGACAGATTTCATTAGTCACTAGAATTACCTGCTGTAAAACTGTATGTGATGTCGGACAGATCCCATTGGTCACTACAATTACCTGCTGTACAGTTGTACATGATGTCGGACAGATCCCATTGGTCTCTAGAATTACCTGCTGTAAAGTTGTACGTGATGTCGGACAGATCTCATTAGTCACTAGAATTACCTGCTGTAAAACTGTATGTGATGTCGGACAGATCCCATTGGTCACTACAATTACCTGCTGTAAAGTTGTACGTGATGTCTGACAGATCCCATTGTAAATCTCCTGTCTGTCCACCATTTCCTCCACGATTCTTCATGTCTAGAAACTTTGAAGGATTTGTCTCCCCTAAATATAAATACAGGATTATAATACAAAAATCTTGTTGATGAACATTTGAAATCCTTATATTTAAATGACTTTGCTTCCTTCTTTATCTGTATGTTAAGTATCCTATAACAATCTGCAATAATGCCACTCTGTCTGATATTCAAAATGCCACAGCAATGATACTTTATCTACTCATAAACTGTTTAGTCATTGATAAAAGAAATCTTGTGGAGGTCCAATTTTACCATACAAAAAGTACAGTATTTTAGTCCTTACATTTTCCCTACATACTGAGTCCTAATGAATACAGTAAACTAATGTAGATACATCAGGTGTACAAAATATATATATATATATATATATATATATATATATATATATATATATATATATATATATATATATAAGGCCAAAAAAAAAATATGTGTGTTTCCGGTTATCCAAGCCATCCTATTTTTTTTTTCAACCAAATTCCTGCCCCTATTGTTGGATGCAAGAAGTCTGAGTCCTTTGCTGTTTCATGTCAAAAATATAATCATTAAAGTCATCCTTTTTAAATTATTTAGAGAGGGAAATGTTATGAATTGTCCCCTGTAGAGCCGTTTTCACAGTACCAATCCTGAAAATATCAGCAGGAATCAACATGGGATCGTATCAAATTAGTGATGCAAAATACATCTGATAAATGACAATCGATGATTTGAAATTAACTATTAAATAATTTTCATGCCATTTAAGACATTTAAATGCTATATTGATCTTGTAAACAATTACAGATGTCACGACATTGTCAATGAGCTTACTGCATCACGGAAGTAAACTGATATGGGCCAGACGAATATCAATAAAATATCATCCAATCATTTTTTGAAGAATTCTATGAATAACATAGGCCTGGTAGAGGAAATATATAGTCATTTGAAATCTAAAGAATGTTGAGCCATATGGTTTGCTGCATATTTATTTTTATAGGTAGATTTGAATTAGATTTTAATTACAAAATTTAAATTCATATTGATTAATAAGGCCAAACAAAAAAATATGTGTGGTTCCGGTTACACCTCCAAAAAAATTAGGGTAGGTAGGTAGGGATTTTTTTTTTTTTTTTTTTTTTTTTTTAACAAAATGATTTTCTTAATTTTTCTAAATATTACTTATCACTACTTTGCAAATGACATTTAGATGTGGTGAGATAATATACTAGTCAATATTGGTAGGGGACACCTACATGCTAGCTTGCTTTGGATTTAACACTAATAAACACTTGCACTATGTTGTGCAAGGGGGCCGTCATTGCTGAAACTAAAACTTAAACCGGAGCCATTGATGGAAATTGGGGAAAATTCCGGAAAAAATATGAAAATTGCCAAAAAAAAGTTTTACGGTCGGGGGTATAAAATAGGGACGGTCGGGTAACCGGAACCACACATATTTTTTATTTGGCCTAATAATGATGTTTTTTTTTATGTTTTAAAATAGGGGGAAGTAAAAGTAGTTAATCAAAGGTGTATCAAGCCCACACCCACTTAATTTTTAAAACTTCTCCTTAATTTGCTTTGAGATAGAGGTGAAGACTCCCTAAATTTTAGGCCTAGAAGAGTCCTTGATTAGATCTAGAATTATTTCTTGTTCATTACATTCAATAGATATTGAATCTCCAACCCCCCACCCTAATACCATAAAAAATGCACCTACCTACCCTTTTTCAAAATCCCATGCAATAGCCAATAGGTAACACACAGAATTATTTTATTTGGCCTAAAACAAAGTGAGTATATGGTTCCAAATACAGTTCCTGTTTTGAGTTTTTACCTTGTTATCTTGAACATTCAGACATATCTCAAAAGTTTTTTTGTCTCTAAGAGTTTGAGATAAAAAGGTACAGTAAAACATGCTTACAGTGAAGTGTCGGGGATCAACAATTTTAATTCTTTATAAATGTAATTTGTTACATCTGTTCAGTTCAAAATGCGTTTTAAAACTATTGGAAAGGAAAATAACTTCACTGTAAGCGTAAATTCATTATAAGTGTGTTCACTATAACCGTGTTTTGCTGTATCTTTATACATTTACTCTTATGTACATGTAAAAATATGATTTTAAAAACCCCTATTTTAATGATGAAGGCCTGGAGACTTACCCGACTGATACAGTCCTATCCAATCATCAGCTCCAATCTCCTCCTTGATATCCCAGCTGACCTTGACACTCGTCATCTTACCAAGGTTAAGGACATTTTTATCCACAGCTAGATAGGACAGCAATCCCGGAGACTCTGCAGCTAAATCTGATTCACTACTGCTCCTCTCTCTCACATGTCTGTACTCAAATGACTGGTTGGCTAGTGGAGAAGGGGGTAAGGGGAGGGAGAGGTCATCCACTGCTCCATAAAGGGGGCCCTTAGATGACCCCGCCTCGGCCATGACGAATCTTCTCCACTGCCTATATTAATCTGCTAATCTCATTTGCTGCTGGTGATTTTGTTGGACCATACTCAAGTTACACTATGTCAACCCATGTTTAAATTTCACATTGTCTTTAATTCTGGAATAGAAATCAAAGAGATGACTTCATAAGACTCAGAATCGTGATGTATTCCTGTAATAAATTTGTTTCACAATTAAGGTTATTAACTTAACAATTGATTATTTGCAGAAAGGCTGAAAAATGACAGAAAGTTCTGGAAAGTATGAAGAAAATGAAAGAAATAACACTATCTAGCTTTTCTTTGTTTGTATACACTGTAAGTAGCTACTTAGAATCATGCAGAAGAAAATCTTTTGGCACTACATCATAATCTTCCAGATAACATTAATCTATTTGCATTTATGCAAGTGAACGACTTACAGAAAGATATCAAAACATACGAAAAATGTGCATACTTTGTTCCCTTTAAGCCCGAGTTCCTATCACAAAACATGATGAATCCAGGGAGATGGTTCAAAAACAAACATTAAATCAGTATGTGTACAGATTTAACACAAATTATCATTCAAACATTATTAAACAAATTTTCAAGCTTACATCAATTCTTTATGAGCAAAACATACATGACCAACAAGAACAGAGCTAAATCTATAGATATCTAACAAGATCTCTTACTTTACATTCAAACCATGCTGACATGCTTCATTAACAATTCAAGTGCATGTATCTACACCAAACAGGTGACAGCTCAACTGTCTCCAATATCATTACTTCCGAATTTTATTATTCCAAACGGGTTGCTTAAATCAAAACGTTGTAAACACTTGATACCTTCGTAGGTATGTACCTATTACGTGATTAATTAATCCCTCATGCCCTTTTTTGTTACCCTAAAGTGTGCAAACCAGACATACATTCAACAGAGAAATCGGGTTCAATGGGTACTACATGTCAGGATTTCGTCTTTTTTATTATCTCATACTTACCATCTGAAAGTATTTGAACCATTGATATTTTATTTTCTTGCAGATGATAATATTTTGCCAAAATTGCATAAAATAACGTTGATTTATTAAGAAAACAAATTCATCCATTCGCTAACATCCTTTTCCTGTTGTTGACATGTTGAACTGTGTATTATGGGATACTTATGGCGGCATCGCTTAAATGCACGGACACCAAGAGGGAAGGTTTCAAAATGCATTTTCCAACATAACCGTATGGGAATCGACCGACTGGGACACGTTAATATTCATTGTCAATAAGAAGTATTAAAAACAAAATCACAATTCATTGAATCACTTTTGAGTGACAAAGAAACGTACAGAATGTTATTTGGATATATATATATATATATTTTTTTAAATGCGAAATGAAAAATAAATTCTTTATGTACCATGGATACCAGTTGATGTATCTATACATAGGCGCTTGGATTCTGGAGAGTGTAATTCGTGTATTGTGTGTTTTTCTATGTGTGTCTGAATACACTTATTTAAATAAAAATAAAAAAAAATCGCTGAAATTAGAACGTTTAAAAATTTCATCTTTTTTTTTTTTTTACCTCGACCTTGAAGTTTGACCCACTTTTCAAATATTTGAACTTGGCCGTAGCTTCTGAAAAGATAGGACTTTTCATATTTTTACATGTAATATACCTATGTCAAGATCTTTCCAAATGTACAATATCATTATAATTTCAGTCTTGCTTCAAGCCCTTGGGACCATCACGGTAGTTCAGTCGGTAGAGCACTCGCTCCATGATCGGAAGGTCGTGTGTTTGAATCAGGACCGCGACTGACCTAAGTCGATAAAAAAAAAAAATAGGTCGCAACTGTTCCTTTGCCAAGTGCTCTGAGTGCAGAGGATATTTCTAAAATTAAAGCCCTTCACCGGTATATGGTGACGTCTCTATATGAGTTAAAAATTCTCGAACGGGACGTAAAACAACATACAATTAATCAATCAATCAAGTCCTTGAAATTTGGCCTAATTTTCAAAAATAAATAAATGATAACTATGCTGTAATGTTCTGCACCAGAACATATTATTTCAAATATATGGACGGACAAGACAGTTACAAAATGCCATAAGACCCAAAGTGGGAGGACCACAGTTCTCTGAATTGTTTCTCTGACCAGTTTGTTATATTTGTTTAAAAGTTTCTGCACGAAGCTTCCATTATTTTCAAAATGTTACGCTGGAAAATAAATAATTACGGTGAATGCACAGAATTTACTGTGACAGAGTGTAATGTGGTAATGTATATGAATGAAATTTAGTTGTGAAAGAAGTTGGAACTCCCCCCCCCCCTCCCCCGAAATAGGATTTTCGAGTTTGCATAATTTTCCTTTTTTTCTGGTAAGTTATTATTTTGTTTTTATTGTGGCTGCCACCTTTCAAGAATTACCACACTACGTGCCTGAATTATTGTCAATATCCTTGTTTAACAATTGTTTATTTAGAAATAAAATTAGATATTTTAAAGATGGGTGGTGCTTGCCTCATAGGATATTTCCAACAAATCTAGCCCTTTCCAATTTTTCTTTTCTCCAGGATTTTTTTTTCAATAAAATACTGGAAAAATGAAGATACTTCTAATTGACTGTAATCAAGTTTTAGTCAAATTCTAATTTCAACTTTTAATACGCCCCCTATGTTTTCCGGAAAGATTTTACCCTCACCGAACTTGATTGATATGTGGCAATTAGTACTTCCAGTTGTTGAAACGCGCGAAATCGAAAAGAATGTTTATGTTCGACTTTTCAAATACTCGCCAAACTTTAAAAGACTTAGAAAACGATTTGCGATGCAGTGTTTGGTAATTATTTTTCATGTACTTTATTTTATTTTTTTTTTCTTTTGAAAGAAAAATGCATATAAATAAACCTGTGGCAGGATGTTCAGACAAGGACTAGTCTTCAGGTCCAGGAAAATCACTATATTTAGCTATATAGCTTAATTTACCTATATAGCTTTATTTACCTATATAATATAGCTTTATTTAGCTATTTTTGAATAAGTTTCTGTTTTATGAAAAGCAAACAAAAAGTCGCATGAAAATTATGGCTGATATTTTTTTAAAAAGGTTTGATAAAAACAACCTAGGGCATAGATAGTAAAAACATTGCCTCTTTTAAACACTTTTTAACCAAAAAATGCATCTCTATTGTTTGGATAGCTGTCCATTACTGGAAGTGCGATGAGGCATGACTAAGTGTGATTGCCTTGCATTGCATTGTGCTGAATTATTACCAATCAATTATCTTGTTGACCAAAACTTCTTTTCTTTGTTAAAGTAGCTGCTTATTCACAGATTAACTGTTATGCATAGCCCCAAAACTTTTAGATCTTTGATTGCAATTGCACAAAAGGAGAAACATTTTTAAAAGTGGGTTTTTGGTGAATTGTTTTCAGTCCATTTCAAAGTTGAAAACTAATACTGCCTCATTATGCGACTTTTTGTCTGCTTTTCATAAAACAGAAATTTACTCTGAAATAGCTAAATAAAGCTATATTATATAGGTAAATAAAGCTATATAGGTAGATTTAGCTATATAGCTAAATATAGTGATTTTCCTAGACCTGGTCTTGTTTTGTAGAGAGTAAAAAATTTTTCATTTTCCTTCACTTTTTATAGTGAAAAAGGGGGTAGTGAACAATATTTGTGATATGTGTGTTTATGACAGGTATGGCACAATCTTTTGATTAAGCTACAGGTCCAGCACAATCTCTTGATTTACCTATATAGCTTGAAATAGCTATATAGCTTTATTAAGCTATATAAAATAGCTTGATAAAGCTATTTATATGTAGTTTTTCAAAAAAATGTTTTTTGTAAGAAATAGACAGAAAGTCGCAAGTATTTGACTATTCATATATGTACTATGAGCTATCAAAACAACAATCAAAATCAAAGATAGTTCTGACATTGCAGCATTTGAATACATTTGTACTTTTAAGCAAAAGATGTATTTCCATTGTTTGAGTAACTGTACACTACCTTGTGTGCGTTGAGGCATGGATAAGTATAAGTTGCTTCTCATTGTACTGAATTATACCAATCAGTTTATAATTTCATTGCAGAAGTAACTGTATCAATTGCTTTGTATAGCCCCAAAACATTTAGAACTTTGAGTACAAAGTCTCTTAAGGAGACGCAATTTGATGAGTGATTTTTACATGCATTATTTTCAGAAGAGTTCAAGGTTGAATATTATCACTGCACCAAATTAGGTGCAACTTTTTTTGCAAGCTGAGAAAATAACACATTTAACATGTTTAAGAAAAAAGTGTGATAAAATAGCTTAATCAAGCTATTCTGAATAGCTTAATAAAGCTATATAGCTAAATCAAGCTTTATAGCTAAATCAAGAGATTGTGCTGGACCTGAGCTATATAGCTTGAATTAAGTATATGACTTTATTAAGGCAAACTTTAAACTAATGTTTTTTGCCCTCTCCTGACCCAGGATGAAAAAATTGGATACCGGTAGGTCGGTAGGTAAGGATTTTTATTCCCCAGAAAATTTCAACGTCAATGCTGAGTTTTCAAAATCTGTTTTCCAGAATGCTTAAAAAAAATTGTTTCCTGGAGGTTTACAAAGTTTTGACTTGGGGTTATTTTTAATCAGTCGGTCAGGAGAGGGCAACCAAACAAGTTTTTAAAGATGGCCTAAGCTATTCAGAATAGCTTGATTTAGCTGAAAAAATATGAGTGTTACCATAAAAGTGTTTCCAAAGTATCACGTGTCAAAATTTTTATTAGCTGAGAAATAAAATGAATGTGTTGAATGTTTTTATTTTAGTGGCAGCCTAGCAGGAAGTCCCTGTACCTTGGGTGGATGTGAACATATATATTGCAGGTAAGCATAGAATAAACTAAAGCCAAATAAAAAAATATGTGTGGTTCCGGTTACCCGACCGTCCCTATTTTATACCCCCGACCCTAAACTTTTTTTTTGGCAATTTTCATATTTTTTCCGGAATTTTCCCCAATTTCCATCAATGGCTCCGGTCTAAGTTTTAGTTTCAGCAATGACGGCCCCCTTGCACAACATAGTGCAAGTGTTTATTAGTGTTAAATCCAAAGCAAGCTAGCATGTAGGTGTACCCTACCAATATTGACTAGTATATTATCACACCACATCTAAATGTCATTTGCAAAGTAGTGATAAGTATTATTTAGAAAAATTAAGAAAATCATTTTGTTAAAAAAAAAAAAAAAAATCCCTACCTACCTACCCTCATTTTTTTGGAGGTGTAACCGGAACCACACATATTTTTTTGTTTGGCCTAACCATAAAAGAGAGTATAGAGGGACAAGCATACCAAAACAAAATTCTCATCTCAGTGGTTTATTAAACTGGAATAATTTTTTTTCCCACTTAAATTTGCTGCAAAGCAGAAAGAAAAAATCTTAAAATATCGAGTACATTTTTTTTTTTGACTTTTTGCACCTAACGCACAAAAGACTTCGGAACACGTGGTTGAGGAATGACAGAAGCGCTGGATTGAGAAAGTTTGTACTTCGTAACTCATACTGTGTAACAAGGTGTGAAGTTTTTCACGATGTCTGTCTACTCTTTATATGTACGATACGTCAATAGTTGAAAACAGTAGATGTGAATTTTTTTCTTATACTGCAATCAAACTAGAAGCCGAGGAAACTTTTGAAGCACTGTTTGATGTTACTATAAAGAGACCTTCAAAAAGTCCACGAAAGGTTTGGTGAATATTGATGATGTTTGCTCTATCAAAATAAAAAAAAATTTTTCAAGATTTCAAGACCGGACATGTCCCTAGGAATTTGCACGGAACTGAACAGAACATTTGTAGAAATGAAACTAAATTCCAATGTAACACGTACCTCATTCAAAACATGACAAACAGAAAGTAGACGCATTTGCACATTTTATGAATGCTTCCAAAAATTATTCTCTCCCTGGAAAAATTACAGGCAAATGAGACTACAGAATTTATTTAATGATTTGATAGAATGGGCAACAAATATTGGAGAGGAAATTCTTCAAAAAGACCTTATTTGATATAGCAAAACATAACTTGTTATGAAAATAAAGTCTTTGAAACCTGAAACTTTTTGTTTATTGAAAACAATGTCAAAAAAAAAAGTTAAAAATCATAAGTTCATGTGGTATGCAAATGAAATCTAATAATTTTAAGTCTTTATATTTTAAGCACTTGCTCTTTGAAATCATGCTTTATTCATTAAATAAAATTATGTTACTTGTATTCACTAGCTTCATAATTTTTAAGCTCAAAATGAAAAATAATATTTGTAAAATTATTTTGCCCTCTTGCCTCACTTTTTATTTTGAAATTCCAAAAAACTATTTTAAAAATTGGTGTGGCCTTAAACAGTAATGATTTTTCCAAAAAAATTCTAACTTATGATTAAAAGAAACACAATTTCATCATGATACCTTGTGAGGCATATTTGACAGAAATAGCCTTATAGCTTGATAATTATTGTCATTTATGATGGTAAGAGTTATCTCTCCTACTGGGGGGTCATTCTTTTTGACAATGTATGATTGCATGAAGCACTGGTTTGAATTCTTTTCTCTCTGTAAGGCCTAGAAAAAGAAATGTTTCTGCTTTTTCAATCAACCCTAATTTATAGGACCAACCTTATTTTTTAAAAAAAAAAATTTTAAGTGAAGATCTGAATTTTTAGTTTTTGTTCCATGAATAAATACTTACACTATATAGTCAAAGAAATGCTTTATAAACACTAATTCATCAATATTACTTGATGCTTTGTTTAAAGAAGTCCAGGAGAATTTTTTTTTTTAAAAAAAAGCCTACCTACCTAACCTAATTTTTTCAGCCTGAAAGCAGAAACGAATATATTTTTTCTATGCTCAATGGTTCATTTTCTTAAGACATGGTGAGGAATAGGTAAATCTCTAATCTTACACTACAGTGCTTGCTGTGAGAAGTTGCTGGGTCAAAGCTGTGTGGTATGTCACATTCCTGTTCATGTCAAAGATGCCCAGGTGAACAGGCAGCTGTTCAACCTTGTGAACCTCTGTAAACGACTTGGTCAGATTCTGAACAACGCAGGGAGCAATGATTCAGGTAAACTGTGAACAGTCCAAATTAAGGCAATGTTTGTTAATTTGAATTCAGTGACGAGTCAATAAATTTTGTTATTTACTTGCTTGAGCTTTTAAGAGAGTTTTAAGAGTAAGAATAGTGTACTTGTATATGAAGCAATCTTGAGGAAAATAGTGATGAATTTGATTTAGAACTTTCACAGCAAAGAAAGAAAAATGATAAAAAAAAAAAGTTGAATTATGTATAAAGTTGGTGAAATTCACTAACAGAATGGTGAAAATCTATAGAACAATGTACGGAATTCGTCTTAAGTTGTGCATTTTTTTTTTATTGGCACAGAAAACATAATAGAACCTGAAGTAGAAAACAGTGCGACTAAATCTGATGCCATCCCAGATGTTTACGACTTTGTGAGTCCTGAACTCTCTACTCCAACCAAGCTATCTCACAAACAGGAAGCTTCACGTAACAATGGTACAGTTACTGACATTTTGTATTTCTAAGAATGGTACTGTACAGTTACTGACATTTTGTATTTCTGCAAAAGGCTATCTTCCCTTTCTGAAACTCAGCTTAAGGATATCAGTTAGACTGAGAGGGTTGCTTTACCTTGTGAACTTGAGTGTAATAGGTCCAGGTTTGGAATCTTTATTGATATACACAGTATATGCAATCTGATTGGTTGAATTTGAATCCATGACTTTTTTTTCATTTGCATGAAGTATGAAGTGTATTGTTTTCTTTCATTTTCAAATGTATCAAAAAAGTAAAAATGTGCTTTATACATACATATATAATAATAATGTATATGATTGTGTACAGTAATTATGAAAGTTTGATTTAAATGTGCAGTACACATGCTGTAAGATGAAGTGTCTGGGGAAAAAAAAAGAAATTCAATTCAATATGTCAAATGTTGCAAGGGAGGAGTCATTACACTAAAGCTACAACATCGTATATGCCATATGGTAAATATCCAAATAATTTAAAGCAAAGTTCTGATAAAATTATATATCTTATCAGGAAAACAGAAAAGAAGATCTAGATCATCAAAAATCGGGGAAAAGTTGTCAAATCCCTGTCAAGAAAGTTTGCCATCAAACAGCACAACTACATGTAATCATGACTTGACAAGCAATAAGTCGAGGGGGAAAGCTTTAAGTCCAGGAGTCAGAAGGAAAACTAGGTCAACGGAACCAGAAGACCAGACCACCATGACCCAGTTCTTTGACTATATGGAGACCAATGATGAAACCAACATTGACAATGGCAGCAGTGCCGCAGCAAATTTCAGTTCAGCAGATAAAAGTACTGAAAATAAATCTGGTGAAAAGTCTAAAAAAGGCAAGCTTATTGGAGAGTCAAGATTTAAGATGGGAAAATCAAAAGGTTCTAAAATTTTAAGAGTAAGAAAGACCCAGAATAATGACGAGGAAGATGATGAAGATTTATCCTTGCAGAAAAGAGATGAAGGGAATGTGTCAAAAGTCAATATGTCTTCTAATGAACAAAACAGCGGTGACAGAAGTGGTCCACATGAAGTATTTGAAGTTCAGGAGGAGGAAAGAACGTCAAGTCGACCATCTAACCATCTGAAGAAGGCCAAGAGGAGTGTTGGTGCATGTGAAACTACTTCCTCTATCACAGTGCCATCTGACAACAAAAAAGCCAGGAGAAGTGTTGGAGCTGCTTCTACTTCTATTGACAGGTATTCTGTTGGTGTTAATATCAGATTCACCTTTCATAGGGTAAATTCTTTTTTTTTTAAATCTTTTTTCCACCTTTTTAATGAAATTCCAATGTTTTATTTATTTTGTTGTGTTAAAGTGTTTATATTTCATTGTCTCATATTGTGTTATGTGTTTATTGTATACATACTTTGAATATGTGTTATTAAGGCCCCGAGGAAGACTACTTGCACTAATCAGGTTACCCTCTATAAATAAAGTATTATTATTATTATTAAAAACTAGGAATTATATTTAATTTGGATTGGACTTTTAGGTGTTCTTTCAAAGAAATTGGCTTCAAAAGTATACAGCAAAATGTTATTATAGCAAAATTGACTTAAAATGGCATTTTTAAACAAACAAAAACTTTTGAACTTTCTGCAAACACTAGATATTTATTTTGTTTCACTAAACGTTCATCAGTTGTATATACGTGTGCTGATTTATATTCAGAAAGAAAACTAGAAGAAGCTTTCCAGCTTGCCTAAGTACAGAAGATGTTTCTTTTACAACTCAAAAATCCGAAAAAATGACAAGGATTAGCTCACATCAACAGAAGAATCAGGATAATTTAAACTCTTCTTTGAGTGGTTCTGGGAAAGGAAGTCACTCTCTCATTGACAAGAAGAATGCTAAAGGAGAAACCCCACTTCAAGTGGCTTGTATCAAGGTTAGTTGTTGCTCATATCAAGGTTAATTGGGGGTCATACTCAAGGTTAGTTATATCAAAAGTATCATATCAAAATTTGTTGTGGGTCATTCTAAAGTTAACTGAAGGTCATTTCAAGTTTAGTTGTAGTTTCTATCAAGGTAAATTTTAGGTCATATCAAAGTTACATGTGGGTCAATTCAAGGTTTGTTATGGGTCATTTCAAGGCTAATTTAAAATCACTCCAAGGTAAGTTGGGGGTTATATCAAAGTTAATGTTGTAAACCTCAGCTTTTTTAAGGCAACATCAGAAAGCAGTTAGCTCTATAGAGATCAGAGTGCATCCAGAAGCATTCAGAAACCAGTTGATATGGTGGAAAATTATAAGACAAATTGTGCAGAATCTCACTGAGATTGAAAGTGATAAAAACCTTTCCTTTCAATTGCTTTTTTTTTTCAGTTGTCTGTGGCAGAATTTATTATAAGCAGAGATTCTTAATAATGACCACAATTGACATTAATGTATATTTGTGATGTAATAATTTTCCAATTTTACTTTTAGGGGGATTTAGAAAAAGTGCAGTCACTTCTCTCATCTGGAGCAAATCCCAACAACAGAGATAATGCGGGCTGGACACCACTGGTGAGAAAACATGTCAAAACTTACTACAGCAATTGTGTATTAGTTAAATTAGAAGTCTAATTAGGGCCTCGCAAGGATTTGCAGGTGCCCTATAGTAATCACTCTGACTGTCCGTCTGTCTGTCTGTCATTCTTCCGTCCACAAATTTTTTGTTTTTTTCTAATAACTTTTTTTGTAGTTGACCAATTAAGTTAAAATTTGGTGTGTTGGTTGAAGAGGCAGTAAGACATATTTTGATGCTAAGTTTGGTTCTCTATGTCATCCAGTTTGGAGCTAGGGTGGTGGGTAGATTCCTTAAAGGCCGGTAGTGACCTAGAAAATTTTACACCCCGACGGCAATTTAGCATATATGGCAAGGAGGCATGGCTCACTCCTCTGCAGTTTAAATTTAGAATTGTTATCAGTCATGCAAACATTACCACATGCTACAATCTACATGTGCACTCTAGCAGACGATATTCTTCTTTCAGTGTAAAGAATCACTTTGTTTAGAGGGCTCAATTTACTAAATAATCCTGAATAAAAAAAACTGCTTGAACTTACAAGATTTTTTAAATATTTATAATTGATATCTGTTTCACTGTATATTTTATAAATTACTGATTTGAAGACATTTATGATTCAACTTTAAGAGAAAAGTGCAGATATTTGTCTTTTCCAGATGTTTTCTCTGTAGTTGAATGTAAGGGGTTTGTAGATCTTTTTTTTCCTTTTCTACTTCTTGGAGCATTTGCTCTGGGTGGATTCCATACAGAGGTGAACTCTCTGTCCACATTTTCGTTCCAATGACAGACTGCTAGATTTGATCGCGCTCTGTATCCCTTGTCACTAAATGCAATTCTTTTGTCCTGAAACATGTTCAAAGTATTGTTGAAACTTTCTACATAATATGTATCCTTTGCAAGTACATAATCCTGTGGGTATCTATACAAATTTGAACTAGTTATTACACCACGTAACAATTTTTCTGACACTTTATCACATATTACAAGTCTCGATGGCTCATAATTTGGATCTGTTCTGCAACGTGATGTAGGATGACAATTAGAATGATTTCCTTTATAATGTTCAATGATATTCAAAAGGAGATCTTGTAATTTTTGGGGATTTTGATCGCAGTTTCTAATTGCCCAGTGGCAGTGAGTGGCAACTGGCTCAACTTTATCATATAGATATTCAGACCAAGTTTTCCCCTTCTGATATGCTGGTCCACTTGAAATTTTTTTCATTTTCACTTTAATACTTTTAACTCCATGCCAGGTATCATTTTGATTCGTTGTCCTCCTAATTCTCGAACAAATTTATTGATGGAGATATTTCGATCATGGATATGAACATCAACTGAAACAACTTGCTCATCAAGATAGTTGTAAATTCTCTCCGTTCCAAGTTTCTCGTGTCTTTGAGATACTGGATCGTCTGCTTTGGTGACATGTTCACACTTTATTACCTGGTGTGTTTTCTCTCCTAACGCCACAACACTTGAGTCTTTGGCATTTTTTCTACATCCATGCCGAGCATCTGTCATGATGTTAATTCCGTCATCATCGCTGCATCCTACTTCTCCCCAAAGCGCCATGTTAATACTGTCTTCATATTCTGATTCAATAAATGGATAGATATTCTGTAAGCATTTGTCACGATTACTTTGGTTGATGGTACCAATTTTAGCTCCCTTTGAAAATCTGACGTAATGAACAGGCAACATTCCACTACAAGCAAATCCTCTTTTATTCACCAAATATTCATTATTTGGTAAGTATGGTGATGAAGACCACAAAAGGCTATGATGTTTTTGAATTCTACAATTAAATCTTGCTGCAGCAACATGTCCCTTTTTGATAATCTTTTTTAATGAAAGATCACCATTACAGAATTTGGAATTATTTTCCACCACTTTTACTAAACGTCTTAGTGATGATTCTGCAGTAAGGAAAATTTTCTGGTTAGAATCCTTTTCCTGTACCTGAATGTATGTGTTCAAGTCCAAGGTCTCCATAGCCACATTTGCTTCTTCATCTTCTCTGTCATATTTCTCTAAGAATGTTTTCAAAACCTTTTCTAGGATCTCTGCATTATTTACAGGATGATTCAGCTGTCTCACTAAAATATCTCTTGCTTTATGAAGAAGAGAAAGTATTTCATTTTTTTGTTGGTCATCTCCAGGAATTGATATTTTAAATGAAGGTGGACGTTTTTTGGTTGTAGAATCCATATTGTATGATCAGTAATAATTCAGAAACTTTAGAGATCATTGAATGCTAGCAATTAGCCCAACTTCAATTGGTGCAAGGGGATTTCAAGTTGAAAAAATTCTATGATTTTTCTGGTTTTATTATGGATGCTAATTCATTGAAAAGCAGAGCAAATAAAGTTCAATGAATGTCAAAAGATTTGTTATTAATTTATTTAAAAAACTCTTAATAAGTAACCTTTAATTTTTGGAAAAGTTTTAAACCCCCCTACCAAAGAAAATGAAACATCCTGCTGCTGAAAAAAGAGATTGCAATATGAACTCTGAACCCAAGTGACATTTTATGGAGCGATGGTTGGTAGGAACAATTGGGGTAATATAATTTTATTTAAATAAAAAACAGTGATATTTGTCCCCGATGAAATGATTTAGAACTGGGGAAACAGGGGAATTTCATAAAAAAAAAATCCAAAACAATCATCTTTCAAACAATTTTTAAAATGACATTTTACATGTAATATTTATTTACTAATTTATTGATTACTATTATAGTATATCTTTCCTCTATGTCCCCCTCCGATATCATTGTTTGGCATCTGCACTGGCTAAAGTTGCTAATGGGCATTAAATCAGAGTAACTTGACATTTACGCACGAAAACTTTGACAGTATCTGAAATCTAAAAATGGCAAGCAAGCGGCAGGTTTTAATGGAATTGAGTGATGATCAGTTAGAAAATATAAGAGGTGTTTTCCATCACTTTGATTGGGATTTTGATTCAGCCGTAATTTCAAATAGTAACTCTTTAGTGAATGTCGAGACTCAGACCGATTCACCAGAACATGAAGAAGAAATAACTGACAACAATGAGTTCGTAAATGAACCTTTCAGAATTCAACAGGATCCTAATAGTTCAGAGTGTATATATTGTTTCTGTAGACCATGTATCACTGATGAAGTAAATAGGCAGATGTGGTGGGAAACTGACCCTCACCCAAAACATAGAAGAAACAGAAATTTACGCAAAGAAAAGTACAAAAGATTTTGGACTATGATGTATCATAGAGATATCTGGAATCACCCTAGATATGTTGAGAAAAAAAGAAGGGCATTAGAACAAGACCCAAGATACAGGAATTTAGTGTGGCATCGTAGAGACATAATGCCAGATTGTGTAATAAAATGTGTGAGGGGCTGGTTTCCCAATCCTGACAACATTCCATACATGGACCACCTGTGGGAGTAATATTACTGATTCAGAAGTTCAAGGTGATGATTCGGGGATGTTTTCCCGCATTTTTCTACCAATGTGCTCTGCCTGCGAGGCACAGAAAGGATCTTTATAATCACGTTAACAATAACTCGCTATATAAACAATAGAATTTATTGTACTCATCAATATATTTGAAAGTTTGTAATTATAGTTTTTATATAAATTCAATAGTTATGCCTTGGTTAACTAATTCAATGTTTATTAAGATGATCCTTTCTGTACCTGTCAATGCTGAGCAGGTCAGACTCAGAGTGCAATGAAACTGAAGAACAACATGTGTATCGAAGGATTATTCAGGAGACATTATACATGTAATATTACTGAGCTTTCAGTTTTGACATAATGTAATGAACACTTTGGAGTGAAAATATTTGTTTTGGATCTGAGGGATGAGTTATTTCAAGACTAACACTGGGGATGGTTACCTAAACTGAGTTTTCTCTCACTCAGACTGGGCAGTATTGTGATTGTGGGAATTATTTTTCATATTCACCATTCATTTTAAATGGAACAAATTGAAATACAATGGATTTACTAATAAATGTGAGTAAATCTAAATATTTTATTCCTTTTAACAGAGAATAACATGTACCAATACACATTGTTGGTTCATTTTGGCGCCATCACTACACAGACATGCCTTTGCAATGTGATTGAGTCAACATCCGGTGTAAACAATAACAAACAGAAATCATGCCCACAAACTGCCAATCTCTAGTTTGAAATACAAAATCAGCCCTGCTTCAATTTTTTGAAGCCAAAATTAAAATTTAAAAAGTATTTATATGTAAAATAATGCCCAGTGATGAGAGGAACTGGCATAACAATTTTGAAATGATAATAAAATAGCTGAATCTTGATTTTTGCAAAATAAGTGCTGCAATCTGAATGTGACCAGAAAATTCATAACTTCCACCATTTTCACTGATTGGTTGCTTTTATACCCAATTGCTGGCCTTTAACTTTACATTAGAATGAATGCCAGGGCAAAGAGAGATAACTGCTGAGAATGTTCCTATTGTAAACTATGAAAGCTGCAACTAGTCCCATGGGATTAATTAACTTTCCTCTTGAAGAAAATCCAAAGCATTATCTGTTTCTGTCAAATTGAGATTAATTAACACCTCTGTCTGCAAATGAAGTTTGTTTTGAAGTTAAGGTCAATTCTGAATGATGTTTACATTCTCTGAAATGTGGATTTAAATAATGTTCATACTTTATTTTGGTAAAATATACAATGAGTTATGATTTTATTGAATTCTAAAAACAAGATATACATAAAGATATGGGTTTTTTTTTATTATTTTTTGGTTTTTATTTATTTATTTTATTTATTTCTTCTTTTTTTTTTGGCTGCCTTATGTAAATTCAAGAATACTATTAATTTTAATGAGTAGTCCAATAATAAACTCATTGTATCATTACTGGAAGAGTTCTTATTGTAAACTTGGAAGAAAAGGATGAGAGAGCAGTACAATTAATCCCTTGGGATTAATTATCTTGTCTGGGGCAGAAAATTTTCCAGACTTATCTTTATTTGTCACTTTAAGATAAATTAACCTTTGTCTGCAACTGATGTTTTTTTTTAAGTTAAGGTCAAGCCTGGGTGATATTTGTATTCACTGAAGGCTGGCATTTTATAAAACACATGCTTTATTCTTGTTTAAATATACATTTAATTGAGTTATTATAGATATGATGTTTTTTACTGCCTTATGTAAATACAGGGATACTCTTTACAGGTTGTTGGATATTTAGGAATTATCTTGAAATTTTATAAATACAGTTGTTATTGCATATTCTTCTTCATATATTTTTAAATTTTTGTAATCAATTAAAATTCTCATTCTGTAAGCTGTACCCTTATATTTCTACCCCTTGGCGGGGCCCTTGCTGACTGGTCAGTTTTCTAGTTTAATTTACATTGCTCAAGATAATGCCTAGGTGATAATAGCACAATTAAATGATTAGCAGGATCTTTTCTAGAAAAGTTAAAGATGAATGACTTGGCAAACATTTCATCATTGGATCACTTACATATATTAGTCACTCAGTTAACATGTATCATCCATAGTCCACAAACTTTCCGTAACTTTGACTTCTGTAGAATGATGGGACTTGTTAATATCTCAATGAAGATTTTCCTAAGCAGAATTCTAGGAGGGTGCAAACAGAACAGTTTGATATTTTACAAAAAAAAGTCCTCATTTATTCTTTATCCTGATTTTTCATGCCTTTCAATGCTAATGTCTCCAAAAATTCATGCAAGAAAAGGAGAGGGAGGCAGGTAAATCCCAAGATCCCATTCAAAATCTGTAAATACATGTACAACTATTTTGTTCACTGAAAAAGATGTATACATACAATCACTAAAAAAGTCAGGTCATTAAGAACATTTTAAGAGAGCAGAGGGTGTCCCCAGGAAGAGAGTGCTGCTCCCCTTGGGAATGGTTTAGATAAAACACTGCAAGTATTTGAAAAATGAGAGGTTGTTTAAAACAAATTGAGAATTACCAATTGCAAATGAAGGGGAATAACCCATGCCAAATATTAGAATGTAGACTACATGTATAAGTATACGAGTGTTATAAATTTTGGGCTCTAATTACAGCATGAGGCTTGTCATTATGGCCATGTGGAGATAGCAGAGAGACTGATAACTGCTGGGGCACTGATTGATGTCCCAGGAACTGAGAACGAGACGCCATTACATGATGCTGTCAGACATTTAAAGGTGGACTGTGTCAAACTACTTGTTCAACATGGTGCTTCAGTAAATGCTAGGTCAGTTATAAGGCAGTTGTTTACTAGCTATTAGTAAGACTGTGCTGTACTTTTTTCCACAGGGTCATAATTCCGTGGAATCACAATTTCTGTTTAATCCACGGGTAGGAAATTGTGCAAATTTCTTACATTGCCACTCTATGCCTTAAATGTACTTTAAGTACACTGGGATAAATTTTCGCAGAATGTTTGTGACCTTGTACATAGTGTAAATTAATAAAGAAAATAATGCCGAAAAATGTACTTCTACATTTAAGCTTGATTGAAATACATTTAGGGTGATTTTGATAAAATTTTATTTAAAGTGATTTGTGGTAAAAGTCAGTGTTTTGCACTCAAATTTTAAAAGTAGCCTTATATTATTCATATTGGAAGAAATGTTATAATGGAAATCTTAAAGAGTGTTGGGAAAATGTAGTACATTTTGGGAATAAAAATACCACATTTCCAAAGGGAAACTGCATCTATTTGTCTCTGATTTGGGTCATGAAAAAAACCTTGAAAGTAATATTAATATACTCTTTTTTCTTCTACAGAAATATAAAAGGTCTGAGTCCTGTCCAGTTAGCTGGGAGTAATGCAGAGTTAATGTCTGCCCTGGAAACAAAGGCTCAGGACATAACAACACATACAGCTGTCCAGGTTTGAGTTTTATTCAGTTTGATCACAGTTTTAAGATGTTTACTGAATAGTTAAATTCAAAGGGGCCTTTCTTTTTAAGACCAGGAGATCAAAAAAAAGATGAGCTTTTAGTATAGGTCAACATGTGATTCAAACATGCACATATATGAATATTTAGAGAGGGAAACTAATAACCCATACAACAGAGAATAATGAATTAATTACGCAACTTGGAATATTGAATATGTTCAGGTACATGTACGTATATGACTTACATGATATGCAATATCTGACCACATTTTATGGGTGAGTGAAACTATGTTCAAACTTTCCTGGATATACACTACATGTACATTTGTTGTGAGACTTAAACTTACTTATATAGAACATTCATTGAGTTGGACTTCATAATCTCTTATTACATCTGGGTTTTTTTTTTTTTCACAGACTGACCCCTCTTTCTTACCAAAGTTATGTTTCTTGTTGATCTCTATGTCTTACAGAGTTATGTTTCTTGACTCCTCTGTCTTACAGAGTTATGTTTCTTGTTGATCTCTATGTCTTACAGAGTTATGTTTCTTGACTCCTCTGTCTTACAGAGTTAGGTTTCTTGTTGATCTCTATGTCTTACAGAGTTATGTTTCTTGACTCCTCTGTCTTACGAGAGTTATGTTTCTTGTTGATCTCTCCTGTCTTACGAGAGTTATGTTTCTTGTTGATCTCTATGTCTTACAGAGTTATGTTTCTTGACTCCTCTGTCTTACAGAGTTAGGTTTCTTGTTGATCTCTCCTGTCTTACAGAGTTAGGTTTTTTGACTTCTCTGTCTTACAGAGTCATTTTTTTTTACCCCTCTGACTTACAGAGTTATGTTTCTTGACTCCTCTGTCTTACGAGAGTTAGGTTTCTTGTTGACCACTTGGTCTTACCAGGGTTGTGTTTCTTTTTTAAAGGTTGACCCTCTTTCATACCAAAGTCCATGTTTCCTTAGCACAGGCCTGTCTAGAGACCAGAAAATCACACTACAGAAGTGTGCCACCAAACTCCAGGCTAAGGTCACTGAGGATTTCTCCCACGAGGGTAAGGTTACAGTTCGTAAAAATAGTGTAGTTAGCCCATCTTTAAGATAATGTTTGTTTGCCCTCTCCTGACTCAGGGTAAAAAAAAAATTGGGTGTAGTTAGGTGGGTAAATTTTTCCTCCAGAAAATTAGCTTATCAATGCTGAAAATTTCAAAATATATTAGAATAAAATATTAAAATATATATCATCACCTGGAGGTTAAAAAAGGTTTTGAGTCGGGCCATTTCTAGCCAGCCTGTCGGGAGAGGGCAAACAAACAATTTTTGAAAGATGGCCTTATACATGTATATTGTATAATTTAAAACGAAATTTACCAAAATTGTCCTCATACTAATTTCTCATGCTTTGTCTTCAATTTTTTTTTGTTGATTTTGTATTCTTAATGTATTTTTAATTTTTTATAATCAGAATTCAAGGTAATCTATATAACAGTGTCAACTTGTAATGGATTGTAACTGTCCATTACAAGCTGACAAAGGTCTTGAAGTCTTCTTCCTTCAGTCTCTGCTGAAAACCAGTTGAAATTTTCTCCTTAAACAAAACAATTAAAAACAAACAAGAGGCAATTCTTTAAAAAAAAGAAGGTTTATTTTTGCATTTGTTTATTTCTAACAGTGACCCACATAGTGACATCTTGTAATAAGAATGGACTTTGTCCTCGGACTATGAAGTACCTACAAGGAGTACTGACTGGACGCTGGATTGTAAACATGGACTGTAAGTATTATAGACTGGATGCTGGATTGTAAACATGGGCTGTAAGTATTATTGACAGGAGGCTGGATTGTAAACATGGACTGTAAGTAGTACTTACTGTACACTGGATTGTAAACATGGACTGTAAGTATTACTGACTGGATGCTGGATTGTAAACATGAACTGTAAGTATTATTGATGGGACACTGGATTGTAAACATGTACCGTAAGTATTATTGATGGGACACTGGATTGTAAACATGTACTGTAAGTATTACTGACTGAGGGCTGGATTGTAAACATGGGCTGTAAGTATTACTGACTGGACTCTGGATTGTAAACATGGACTGTAAGTATTACTGACTGTACACTGGATTGTAAACATGGGCTGTAAGTATTACTGACTGGACTCTGGATTGTAAACATGTACTGTAAGTATTACTGACTGAGGGCTGGATTGTAAACATGGGCTGTAAGTATTATTGACTGGACTCTGGATTGTAAACATGTACTGTAAGTATTACTGACTGAGGGCTGGATTGTAAACATGGACTGTAAGTATTACTGACTGGACTCTGGATTGTAAACATGGACTGTTTTTAGTACTGACTGGATGCTGCATTGTAAACATGGACTGTAAGTAGTACTGACTGATGATTGGGTTGTAAATATGGACTTTTTTTAGAACTGAGTGGATGCTGAACATTAACTGTAAGTAGCCTTTAAGGAGGATTCTCCCTCAGCTAAGAAAAGTACATGTAACTTTTACCGTAATTTCATTAATCCCTTTGTGGATCACTTCTGTGAAATTTTGCCCTGCAAGGTGTAATGAAAATTTGTCCACTTTAATTATAAATTAGATTTGGAAAATTCACAAAGCAAAATTTTATGTGAATGGACAGAGGGATGGTAAACCTTAAACTCTCAATGAAACATGATTAAAAGATTTTTACATTGCACTTTTGTTTTTTCTCTCTGTTGATTGCTGTATACAGCTTCTTATTATGAAATTTACACTCCTGCCTCTATCTATGGATTCTTTCAGGGGTAGAAATGTGTCTGGAGTATGGGATGAAGGTGTGCGAGGAGGCATTTGAGATCCCGGGAACTAGTTCAGATCCTGAATCCCATTCGGCACAGAAAGGCAGAGTCAATCGTCAACAGCAGGTAAATAAGGCACAAAATTTTACACAGAGTATAAAATATCACTATTTTTTAAATAATACTTATGCCCGTATTCACACCTGTGTTTAAACCAGGTTTACCACTAAGAAAAGCTTACATTTTTTAAATCCGTTTCATACCTGTTTCTCAGAAGTGAGCTGAGCTCACAAATTAAGCTAAGCCTAAACCTGGTCTGGGGTAGGTTTAAATGTCGATTTACTGTTCTTCTAACACTGGAGGACTGGATAGATAAGATGAATTAGGTGGAAAAAATTAAAAGACGACTCAAAATTATACATGACATAGCAAATCTATTTATATGATGTTCTTGGACTTCTCTCAAAATGCTGTTCTAATTATTATGAACATACTGAAGTGTGTTACATCTATCACGGTGTAAATTTTGATAAAAACAATTTTAGTGGCCTGTTTTAACTATCTTTGAAATATACTTTTAATCTATTGTAATTACTTAAAACAACATAAAAGACTAATTATGCTAATTACCATGTAACTCAAAATGTGTCAATTTAATCGATTTACTCAACATGTCATGAGTTATTCTATCTAAGCCATCTGTCACTCATGCTCAAAATTGTGCTAAATGTCATTGTTATATTTTATTATTTATATGTTATATGCAACACTGTTAATCAGGTACATGTAAGTCCTAGGCTTCGGATTGTTCGGGTCTAATTTTTGGATTTCCAGAATTCACCCTACCGACCTAAGTTTATAATAAAGTGCTATTCCATCGTTAGCATTTTTATGTTTCATTGTTGCCGGAAAGTTTTACACTTATTTTCCCCGGTGATACATCAATGTTCAATGCCATTCCCGGGTGGAAATTTAAAGATGATTTTACATTGTCTCCGATTTGCAACTTCGCTCTCTATTGTGTGTAATTGCAAAGGCAAGCTGTGTGTGTGTATGGGGGGGGGGGAGGATTTGAACCCACATAGAATGAAAGTGATAAAATAAGTATTGGTGCTTTTTATTTCCTTTGAAAAAATATTGAATTAATTTGGAAGATGTTTCTATTTTGAGTGGGTAAGCCCGTGCCTCTAAAGAAGAAAAATTCCTGTATCTGCCCTTGAATTGTGTCTTTTGCTCTCTTAGAAAATTAAATTATAGAGTAAGTGGGGGCATTCGTTATATTGAATGAATTAATTTATTGATAGTACATGTAATGGTGAGAACATTGTCTCTACTCAAAGTAGGAGGACGCTCCTAGTAAAACCTTTTCCGTGAAGGAATGAAAGATTTTCTATGAAAATATACGGTTTTTTTTCATTTTCCTGTGTCTCTGGTTCTTTCTCTGCTTAATATTATACCAAATGCTGTCAAAACACGAGATTGACTGCAGTTTAGGTAAACCCAGTTTTATTTTCAGTGTGAAACACAAGTGAGGTTAAAGTGAGCTCAGCTCAAGTGGGATTTAAATCCGGTTTACTTGACTCTGGCTTACTTGATAAACCTAGCTTACCTAAGCCATAGGTATGAATACGGGCATTAGTGTTATAAGCATCATCCGCTCTCATAAGATTATTGTCTTGTTATATAGATTGTGAATTTACCAAACAAGTTCAATTTACAATCTAAGATTAAGAAATATTGATAAATCTGCCAAAGGCATAACTTTAAAGATAAATTTCACAAGATTAGTGTTTTCCAGTTGAAAACATCTCTAAAGCAGATTTTGGCTTAACACCAATTTTTTATCAATAACCCAAAGTTTCTGACACAACCTCTGGTCATTTTATCCAGGTTGAATATTTCAAAAGTTATGAGTAAGGTTTGCCCCAAAAATACATCCCCCATCCAAACTTCAAGGCATTGCTCTTTGGGGCATAAAAATAATTTTCTTTCTTTAAACAGTTGCCAGGATTATTTGATGGATGCCAGTTTTACTTCTCTGGAAATTTCGAATACCCAACCCCCGACAAGGAGGAGCTTATTGATCTGGTAAAACTAGGAGGGGGTCATGTGATTCAGAGAGAGCCCAAACCAGGCCACATTCCTGAAACAGACCTCACCATACCCTACCACGCTCCTGCTGGCATGGAAACCTGCTGTATATTTATCATCCATGACAACAATTGTCAATTTCAGCCAATCAGAACTCCCGTGATAACTAGTGTGAGGGCATCTTGGGTAATGGATTGTATTAGTCAGTTCAAATTAATTAAAACTACAGTGTAACAATGACTATAAGGTTTATTTATGGCTGTTTTTGTTAACATTATGTACATTGTAGTAAGGAGTAATCATTAATACATATAAAGACGTATCCATCTTGCTTTTGTACATACTTGTACATTTATTGTATGCATATTTTTATCTTAATTGGTCTGTATTGATTATCACTACTGGGTTTGTGAATATGGAAAAATGAGAATGCTTGAAATTGGATATCTGTACAATTGTAGAATTTGATAAAATTTGTTTTATCTATGCAATGAATAGAATGAACAAATTAAATATAATACGATCACAATATTTGTATTTGTTACCCTCATCCAGACATATAATAGATAAAGAATTTATAACAGTGCAAAGAAGAAATTCTTGGATATATATTACAATGAAGATATTTTAATACTAGTAATCTGTTGAAAATAAATGGTTTTTTCTTTGTGAGGAATTTGCAAGGGATAAGAAGTTATAATTCGTAAAGCTGTTTAAACTTGTACAGTCATTCTGTTACTGTCAGCATCTGATATATGACTGGTAGTATGTACACCCGATGGAGCATCTGAATCTGATATCTTAATTCATTTGTCAATGAGTTTATGTTAATTAGGAGCTCCATACATCAATAGTCCAGAATGTACAGGTCACTTTGAGAATATGAATTAGGATTGAAAGTATGTATTCTTACTGTTATCAAGCAAGTTTTATCAACATGAGAATTATAACTCATGGGGTATAAATCTAGCCACTACGAGGTTTTAGCCTTATTAAGCATCAGGAATATTTTCGGCTACTTTTAACTCCGGGGCAGCTATCAAACTCAGGAACTTTTAATTAGTGCTTTTATACATTTTTTGTTTCTCCCGTATATAATGGTGGAGTTCAAAATGGAAATTTCCCATTGTTTAAGAGAGATTTTTTGAAACTAAGATACATGAATGTCTTTTTAATTTTGGTTTTACATTTTCATTTAATTTTTAGTTACGTGTCGCTTTAGTTGAGAGTATATATATATGCAAGCTAAACAAACAAAATATACAAAAGCAAACCAAAAAAATCTCAAACGGGGGGGGGGGGGGGGCACTGGATCTGCCTTTTCAGAGAATTCTCTTTGTTTTTTCTGGGCGCGAATCCCAAGCCTTTTTAACTACTACTCAGGATAGGGACTTAAATTAAATCAGAACTTAAAACTGCTGTAGTTTAGAGTTAAAAGTTCAAAGTACTAGCAACGGTCTCAAAAGTCTGGAGGGGGAACTTCCCCCAAAAATCTGACGAGCAAACAAAAAAAACTGTTCAAATCCTGTAATTTTCTAACCAGCAAAAACAAAAAAACTGTCCAAGTCCTGGAATTTTCCAGTGATTGACTTTACAGCAAGAAATATAGGGGGGCAGCATTTGAATGAAAATTTACTAATTAAAAGCAGAATACTATACCCCCTGCTCCCCCTCCCTTTCTTTTACAGGCCTGAAAGTTAATAAGTGCGACTCTCGACTTGTGTGGAACATTCAAGAGTAAACGGTATTGTATTTTACTTTTCTTTTTAAACTATGAATCTCTTTACAGAGGAAATAAAAAGCGAATGAATGAGTCTAGGCAAACATTAATTGCAATTATGAAACGCGTCGTAAAGGAGATATCTTTGACCGTTATTGGTTATGCGTCTCTCTTATACTAAGATTTACGAGAACGTCGATATAGCTTGCAAGGACAGAGAACTTTGTAAGTAAATGTCTATAAATACCTGAATTTAAAAAGAAAAAATGGACAATTTTGTAATGTATTCGAAAGTAAACAGAAGGAGATGAATGTCACAATATTTAAGAAAGTAATCTTGAGGTCATTGGCGGAAAGAATTAATTCTTGAACCAGAATTTTTTGTTAGAAGCAAAATACGTGTACTATGAAGTTTAGTAAAGCTGTATGTTTGCTCAAAAGATGCTTAAATTTTGAATTGATCTATATATACAGTCTTTTAATACACCTTAAGATGCGCAAAGAAAGCTATACATTGTAATTTCCATGCGGTCAGTGAGAGTAATTAGATATGCCAATTGGCTGACGATGTCATGGAAAAATTGCAGCGAAACACACCTTTAAGGCAGGGAAAATATTTTTTCGACCTTTGATCTTAATTGCGCTTTCCTGGTCATGTGATATTTTGTCCTAAGAATGGCAGTCAGAATGACCCTGCGTACAAGGACAGTATATATGCGTAAAGCGTACAACAAATAGTGCAGATGAAAAATGGTGAGAAGTACTGTTATTTTCTCATTAGATTATTTTTTTTCATGTGTTATCGCTATGCTACTTTTTAATTATTAGGATTTAATAATTGATGTTATTTATATTATTTACGTATATATGATTCTGTCTCGTTTTCATAGAATGTGTCAATATAAATGTTTTTGAGTGAAGTGACCTTTTTTAATAAAATTTTTTACAATTATTTAAATAAGATTGAATAATAAAATTAATAATGTAAAATGGATTAATGAATAATAATATGATTTTTTTTTTCAATCAATGTCTTATAAATAAATTATCATCTATCTATATACATATATGTTACCATAATAATTGAAACATGGCGGTACAAAGGGGAGAAGGGGGGGGGGGGCTTTATCTGATAGATTATGTATTTGTGTTTTCCATCCATTAGTATAGAAGCAGGGACGTACGAGGGGTGATCAAAAAGTTCGCGAACTAATTGAATTACTTCCTTAAAAGAAATAAAATGAGGTTTCAGTGTTTATTATTTTTTAAAGTGGTCCTCTCCGATTTTAATGCACATCTGCCATTGTTCTGCCCATGCGCGAATCACGTGATCCAGGCAGTCACGTGACATGCTCCGTGGCAGTTTGTTCAGAGAAGCTAAAAGATTTTACCGAGTCTTATATTTCTTACCATGCAAGTTATTCTTTATAACAAGTACAGTCCATCTGTCAGAAATGGCCAAATCTCGGCAATAGAATGGGTGGATAAAGATATCCCTTCCCAGAATTAGTATGGTGACCCATCACAACGCGAGTCTTCTGTCCCTAGAGTGTCGTTTATCCAATGTGGATAAAGTATGGACGCCGTCTTTTTATCATATCTCATATGTTTAAAGTCTAAAGTAAACAATATTTTAGGGATTTAATAATTATATTATTGTTAAGATATTCAATCATTTTCTAATTGCAGCTTGACGATGTTTCATTACAAATTGCTCAACTAATGGCACATCTTTTCCCCAGCTTGCTTTCGCTGGGCAACCGAACAAACATCATTTTTAATCATCTCCCTGTCTTTACTTAAACAATCAATCCAATTAATGATTGAACTTCTGGTAAGTCTTTTATCTTCATAAACCTTGTACAAATTATCATATTCTACTGCAAAAGAATTTCCAAGATATACGTTAAACTTTACAGCCGTTCGTTGCTCGAGTACGACTGAGTCAACCATTTTTTGTCACAAGTGACCTACATATTGACGTCATTTTCACATTGTGACGTCACAAACAAGGAGCAAAACATTATTTAACATATGTTATTTATAAACCATGTGTATGACTATATGTGTGCCAAATTTCATTCTGATCTGAATTGTGGTTTTGTAAATATAGAGATAGTTCGCGAACTTTTTGATCACCCCTCGTAGAATCGTTTTTGAAAGAGGGGGGGGGGGGGGTAGCCAGAGAAAAAATATTCAACTTACCTGAAAAAAAAAACTACAAAACTACTACTACAAAACCCTTATTTGACTATTCTACAACAAAATGGGGGGGGGGGGCAGACCCCCCTGTTGCTACGTGCCTGAGAAGAAGATAAATATCACTTTGCTTCATTAATTGTACTTCATATTAATATCTTAGAGCTAGCATTTATATCAGTATTGATTTTAACCCCACTTTCTCAGTTTTTTTCTATGAAATTTTCAGGGCAAATTAACCACAGCATTCTTGTACTCGGCATATACTTTCAACCAGTCTGTTATATTGTAAACGTCATGCGGAAAAGCATGCACTGTATTTTTACCGGCCGCAGGTTAAAGTTATGTTAGAATGAGCACATGGGGAAATGAGACGTTATTTTTCCATTAATCCTTAATTAATATAAGTTTCCTGACAAGCAAAAAAAAAAGTCATCGTCATCAAACGTTTTCATTAAGGGGGCACAAACATATAATATCTATGTTTACTATAGTAATCTGTATATCGGCAAAATTATTGGGGGGGGGGCACGGCCCCCCGTGCCCCCCCCCCCCCCGGTTCCTACGGCCATGTGTAAATCACACAGACTTGCACGTACATGAAATATGCCTACGTGACAAGTCTGTGTGATTTACACACCAATAACTCACACAAAACTTAAAAACATTCCTTAATTGATAACATACATAAAAGGTTCAAATAATTTTTTTTAATTTGCTTAATACTTTATAGTCTAAATAGTTTTTGCGTTTCAATTTGTTTTTCATTTCTTTTCAGATATTTATTAATTTGTGATTTTATAACATTTTTTTTTAACATAAACTGCTCCCCAACATGAGATTGCACAAGATATACACGCAAAACATAAGCAGTTTCCAGATATTGATTACAGTGCCAAAAATTATTATTATAGATTGCAAAATTAAAGACACAATGATATTTTCACATTTATTGTTCATGTCTATCCTGGGTATCAGCATTCAGCACATAACAAGTTTGTACGTCCTTTTTGTCAGAAATCATTGAGATATTATAATTAATATATTTTAGATATATGTTAAATTTTTCTCCATCTTGAAACCAAAAAAAAACAAACAAACAAAAAAAAAAACAAACAAACAAACAAATAAATAAAATGATGACGATACTATACATTCTCTCCAATCTCCATATCCATGAAACAATTTATTTTTATTAATATTTGACAATTCACCGAAAATTAAAGTACATGTATTTAAAAATTGCACAGAAAAGTAATCTAAATGCAATAAAATTAAAAATAAGCTTTGCAGTTAGATCTTTTCTGCTTTGAAAGTTATTTTCTTTGGGCTCCTTCTTGTTGAAATACTTTAAAATGCTTAGCATTAAGCACTTTGGCGGCCAGTTTGATGCTTTGCACCCATTTAACTTATTAACTATTAAATGTTATATTGTTAAAAGTGACTGGACTGTCTTCTCTTTCTTTCTTATTTTTTTAGCGAATCCAAAAGGGGGAGTGGGGTTAAACCCCCATAACCTCTCCTCTGGACCCGCCACTGGACGGTATTAACATTATTTTATATATCTAATTGCCTTCCCCCTTAGCTGTACAAGCAATGTAT